GAAAATACATTGGCGGAGGAATTGTGTTTTTTTTTAAAAAAGATTTGATTCAAGGTCACAATCGGACACTTCCTATGTTCAGCAGAATCATGTCTTACTCACTCACGTTCACTTTTACGACTGAAGCAGATTCGCCAGCAGCTTTCAAAGGGGAATTGGGTATATATACTTTAAAAGGAAAAATGTGTGGGGCTATGGGGTAAGAGCGGGGGAGTGAGTGGGACTAATCGGTAGCTCTTTCAAAGAACTGGCACAGGAACGATGGGCTGAATGGCCTCCTTCTGTGCTTCTATAATTCCATTTCCCTATCTTTTCCTTAGACCACTAAATATCCTTGAATCCCCAAGTATCTATCGCTCATTTTTAGACGCCCTCAGTTGATTTGCTCTGCAGTTGTCTATCTAGTTGGGTTAGTAACAGTCTTGACTCTGCATCAGAAGGTTGTGGGTTCGAACCCCATGTCGGGACATGGAGCTCACGGGACCTTTAACATCTACTCCAGGCCCTAATGCAAATTGTGACCAGTCTACTTGTGTTTTAGTGCCTCTGCCTCTGTTTTACCCACCAGTAGGTAGGAAACTGGTTATTAGTCGATTGGCGGATCGCTTTTCCTGGGGGTAATAATCCTTTCAAAAATAATAATAATATAATAATTCAGTCACTCCGTCCACGATTGTTTGTGGGACATTTGCTGTGCGCAATTGGCAGCTGCGATTCGCCCACAAAATCTACACTCAATTCACTTTACAGTATATTCTGTGAAACGCTTTGAGACTTAAGCGCTCTGAGATGCGCGGAGGAGCAAGTTGTTGTTGTCTCAACGACGCGATAAGGCGCTATATCAAATGCGAGGATTATTATTATTACTTGTCAGACTGATAGAATGGTTGTAGTAAGTAGATATTGGTGTATGTTAAATTGGCCACGCGTTGTCGGGGGCTCGGATGTTTTCAGTTGGCGAAGTCTGTGACTGTGGTTCGAAACTTTGGCTTTGATGCCCAGTCTGTGGGGAAATCAAAGCTCGATTCTGGTGATTAGCATGAACACGCCTTGATCAGGGAGGAGAAAATCAGTTTGGGCTCACAGATTTTTCTCTTCGTTATCTGCTGACCTTTGCTGGAAGCTACGTGTGCTATTGATGCCTGCTGAGGGAAGAATTGGGCTGACCTGCGACGCGCCATGATTAAAGAACCCTCTGCCCTCGCTGTTTAGGCTCACAGTTTAAGAATTGCCACTTGGGGAATAATAATAATAATCCTTGCATCTGACATAGCATAGCGCCTTATCTGTGGACCCCCAGCTCGGGTCCGAAACACTGACTGTCCAGCGCCTGAGGACGTCCTCCCGACGTGAAAGGCATTGTGTTAATATAATTTTGTGGCGGTTATTGCTAAAGACTTAAAGGTGACAGCTCTGATGTTCTGCTCCATCCAATAGTGCATGGTCCAGAAGACTGTGAGCTCAAGTATGTCCTAACGTGGAGCTTGAACCCAGAGTCTCTCGACCAAGAACGCAAAGGTGAGAGTGCTAGTAACAGCCGAACCGACATTTTGGGATGCACGCCAAGCCAACAGCCGTGTGCTAGAGTGCGGGGTTTGCCCCGCGTCCTCCCGACGTGAAAGGCGCTATACAAATGTAATTCTGTTGTTGTCCTGGCCCGACAATTCCCTAAACAAAATTGGTCATTAACTTTATGGCTGTTGACGGACATGTCCGTGCATCAATTAGCTACCGCACATGTCCACCAAATCACAGTCGCACCACTTTACCGCACGTCCCATGAATCACTAAGATGTCTCAAGTGGTGAATCAAATGCAAGGTTTGTTTCATTGCTAATTGAGCACCAGTTGTACCCTATAATGATAACATTCGATTACATTTCAATATACTCTACCAAACCGCGTCAGAAAATAGTCAAAGTGCTTGGATGCCAACCACATTGTCTACTCCACTGGTAGATGGGGCCTCTAATTATCTTATCCATAGGACAACACATCCGACAGTGTGAGACACTCGTTCAATAACGCACAGACTGACCAGGCTGGACTATGAGCTCAGGTCCTCCTGTGAAGCTTCTACCATGGAGATTGTGACCCAAATATAATTTTCTCTGCAGTGGAGGCATGCCGTGTCCAGTACCGAGCGTCAAGCCCGTGTGTATGCGGGTGCTTAACTTGCACAAAGCAAATACTTGGCTGGACTGGAGTGACTTTTCAGCTCTTGCTGTATTCCTGTGCACTACTTCAAAGAACGTCGTTGCACTTTGGCTGTGACCCAGTTTTTCACTCAGCGCTTCCTTCGCCCACAGAAGCGAAAGCTTATTTCCTTGGCGTGCTGATCGCAACGTCTATCTTGCAGGTAGTTGTGTTGGCTGACGGGAATTCCACTGCAGTAACTGTGGAATCTCAGCTCGTCCGTACGTCAATTGTTACACAAGCTGTATGTAGGCGTGAATGAAATCCTCATGCACTCAACGGGAAGATCACATCTTGGACTGAAATAGCTTCTCCGAGCAGATTGTAAATGGAAGCTGTAACTCCTTCCGGTCCGATCCTTCAAGGTAGCTCTGGACAAAAACCCACACAGACCCCAGGAGTGTAGATAGTGTAAATTGCTCCATCGAATCTGTGTCTTGACAGCCTTAATTGTGGCTTTCATTAATTTCTGACGGAGTTTTTGCCGAGCTGGAGATGTCAGATGAAGGTCCGTATGGAGCGGTTACAAACTATGAATGTGACAGAAATCTGAAGCCTCCTTTTGCGATAATTGCCTCAATGAATAAATCCAGCTATCTGCACTAAGGTATTAAGTGGGAGATGGTCTGTTTTCTACACCTGATTTAAAAAAAAACCCTATATAATAATAATAATCTTTGCATTTGACATAGCGCTTTTCACGTCTTCGAGACGTCTCAAAGCGCTTCACAGAGTATTCTGTAAAGTGAATTGACTGTATAGTTGTGGGCAAAACACGGCAGCCAATTGCGCACAGCAGCGTCTGTCCCACAAACAGTCGTGGATTGAGTGACCACATTATTATGTTATTTGTTTGTTTATTTTTCTGGAGGGATTATTATCAAGCCTGTGGAATAAGGAAACTCGCCCAAGGTTTTGCCCTGCCGGGAATCAACCCCAGGTACTCTCGCTTGCAAAGCAAGCGCTCTAACCACTGAGCGACAGGACTCCGTAGGCTGCAGTTTTACCAGTTTTTCACTCCCAAAACATTTTGCGAGTTTCCCACCTTCTCTGATCCTAAACTGATCGGTTCAGCTCTTGTTTAAAGCTGAACTAACTGCTTGTAAGGCTTTGATTCCAGTAATCTTGGACTTTCTGCTTGTGATGTGACAGCATCCCATGACTGGGAAGGTTATGAATGGAAGCTTAAACGCTTTGTGTTTCGTTCATAAACACACAGACAATCCTCTTTACAGCATATCCTGTAAAGCACTTTGAGACGTCTCAATGACGTAAAGGCGCTATATCAAATACAAGGATTATTATTAGATGATTATTTGTGTAGCATGTCGACTGATAGGCCACAAGAATGAGGAAGGTGCAGGGCACGTGAGCCAGTAATGAATCGAGACAGCATTATAATCCTTGCATTTGATAAAAAATAATACTTCCATTTGATATAGTACTTTATCACATCTTCGAGATGTCTTAAAGCACTTCAATTCACACCGTAAAGTGAATTGACTGTATTTTGGGGCAGATTACACGTACTTCTGCCATTCTTGCAAAACGCCAACGTAATGCGGTTGTCTCCTGTAACAGTCATCGCTCCCCAACTGAAAGGCGAGGCAGGAGTCTCATTCCCAATGCCTCTGGCCCTACCACTATGCTGGTCAGCGTAAAAGCTCTTGAAACAGACTGCAAAGCCTATGAACTTTTACCCACCGAGGCTATCAAGTGGACATACTGCCAAAGAAATTGTTCTGGAACGCTCAAACGTACTTGCCGTGCATGTTACAGCTGATATACGAGGAAAGCCCTTTAAATAAGATTATGAAATCAACAAATCGAATGAATTAAATTTCCCCGATTGCAGTATATGGCCTGCAATTGAGTTTCGTCTCTTTAAGGGTCAACCATTTTCTCTTGGCAAAAAAAAAAATTGATCTCAAGCAAGAGAAAGGTTGCTTATAAAGAAAAAACAGGCATCGTCTGTGCTTTATTGATTGTCATTTGTGGTTGTTGTTGGCCACGCTTAATGCTTAGGGTTATTGAAGCGTTTTGCCCACACAATCATACAGTCAATTCACTTTACAGTATATTCTGTGAAGCGCTTTGAAACGACTTGAAGACGCGATAAGGCGCTGTGGCAAATGCAATGATTATTATTATTATAGTCGTAGATTGCTACCAATTACTTTAGTGCCATTTGCATTTTGTGTGCACAGTAATTAATGAGTGGTCACGATCAGATTGGTGCGACCTGGATGGTTATAATAATAATAATTATAATAATAACCCTTGCATTTGTTATAGGGCCTTATCACGTCGTCCAGAAGTCTCGAAGCGCTTCACAGAATATCCTGTAAAGTGAATTGACCGTATATTTTGGGGCAAAACGCAGCGGCCAATTGCCGCACAGCCGCGTCCCACAAGCAGTGGTGGATTGACTGACCAAATTATTATTTTTTTTTGAAGGGATTATTACCCCCGGAAAAGCGATCCATCAATCGACTTAACAACCCGGGTTCCCGCTTACTGCCGGGTAGAGTAAGGAAACTTGCCCAAGGTTTCGACCTGACCCGCCCCGCCCCGCCCCGGGGAATCAAACCCCAGGGGTCCTCTCGCCCGCGAGGCGAGGGCTCCCGACCGCTGAGCTGCGACTCCGCAAACGCGATGGTTAACCCTCTGGGGGGAAAAAAAAATAGATAGATAAATAAATCTAAATAATGAGCTGCAGGTTTTGTGTTGCAGAGGTGACTTCTCGAGCTAGAGGAGGTGATGTTGCTGCGGTGCACGTTGGATTGTGCTACGTGCGCAGAAACCGGTTGTCATGGCAGTGCAGTCAGGAAAGTGCTTAGGTTCGTGTTCGCCTGAGTGCTCCGAAGGCCCTTTTTCGTTCGTTCGCGAGTTTTTTTTTTTTTTTTTTAATTTGAAAACACTTAAATTTAAAATTTGTTGTTGTGCCCCCATGCGGAATTAAGACGGCACGCGTAGAAATTGTATCCGGATGTTAATTCGACAAGTCCGGAGACTCGAGCCATGAGTACGCGAAACTGTGCGAACAGACCTGTACGTATTGCCCGTGGGGGATGCAGATAGGGCAAACCACACTGTTCAGCATTGTCCTTTGAGACCTTCCAACAACAGGATAAGGCCCTCCATCAAATGCAAGGATTATTATTCGCTTATTATAGGAATGACACGAAGAAGGTAAAGACGGTTATTGTTGGATCGGTTGACTGATATGATAATGATAGTCCTTGCAATTGATGTAGCCCCTCGTCACGTCTTCGAGACCTCTCAAAAGTCCTTCGCAGAGCAGACTGTAAAGCGAATTGACTGTATATTTTGTGGGTGATCTGACTTGAGAAGGTAATGATTTAACTGGGAGAGACCTTCCTCTTCGACCGTAAGTTCAATCACCCTCCTTCCCACCCCACCACTGCCCTCCACCCTCCCCAATCCCAACCCCCAGCTCGGGTCCGAAACACTGATTGCCTAGCGCTTTGGGATGTCCTCCCGACGCTAAAGGCGCTACACAAATGTCATTTTGTTATTGTGGTGGTTGTCCTCTCCCTGCAAGTTCTATATGTATTCAGGGGTGGATGGGTGGAGTTTAACAGCGACCCCAACAACAACTTGCATTTATTGTTGTATTGGTTGACTGACATAATAATGATAATCCTTGCAATTGATATAGCACCTCGTCACGTCTTCGAGGCGTCTTAAAAGCGCTTCACAGAATAGATTGCGGGGCAGCGCTTGTCGCTGCATTGGTTGCAATATTGGTTTTATATTAAAAAAAAACCGCAGCACCATGGGATGTCTTTCTGACGCGACAGGCGTTAAACAAGTATCATCTGTTGATGTTGTTATTTGACTGGAATAAGGGCATCCCTGAAAGAGCCTCTCCCCCCCCACCACCCCCCACACCACCCCATGGACTGCTTTTTTTTTAAATGTAAAAAAAAATTCTGAAAGCCTTGAATGGAGGCCGTTACTCTCCTGGCAGAATATTAATTTCATTTCATTTTTGTTCCTGGCCGAGGGCAGCATTCGTCATCTTCACGGTTTCCATGGCAACTCTTTTTCCTTCGCTCTAGGAGCACGTTATCCGAGGATAAATAAATAGTTTATGGCTCCATTCACCAGATCGATCGGGAAGCACATCCTGTTTAAACTTAAAACTGTAAATCATTTTAACGTGTCCAGTAGGTTTTCGGGCTGCGATATTTTATTCAGCGATTAATGAATCTTTTTGATGATTTATTCACACTGAGCGTAATTAAATTTGTGTTTCATGTTCTTGAGGGTTTCGTTCGCTTCCTGTTTATTAATGCAAGATTTAATTAATTATCGTGCAATCACCTGGTTGGATCAATCGCAATTTAATTAGCCTGCGTATCAGAGTAGAAGTTAAGGGCAGTGATTTCTAGATCATAAGGCTCAATTTAAATAAAATATACCCAGTTTTGGTATAGGATAGCGCTGTGGGACGCTACCCTGTGTGAGAGGCGCTATATAAATGCAAGTTGCTATTGTATGATGAACTCCCAAGTCCAAGATAATGCTCCATTGCAGTGTTGGGGACCTCTGGATTGTCTGGAGATGAGGCCTTATAGTGGGCTCGTGTCTGCTTGTTCAGGTGGACTTCAAAGATCCCATGGCACTACTCAAAAGAGAAGGGACTTTCTCCCTGTGTCCAGGCCAACAATCCCCAAAACAAAAATATAGCAATGGCTGTTTGTGGGACATTGCAGCAACAAAATTGTCTGTTGCATTTACCTACAAACACACCCATTACTATATCTTACAGTAAAATCGTGGAAAGCGCTTTTGAGTTGCCTCGATCTCGTGATAAGGCACTGTATCAAACCTAAGGATTATCATATAATGTACACAGTCTCAATGTAATAAATTGTAGAGTATACTGTAAGTATTTCTCTATTTTGTTTAAGTATATTTTACCTGATGATGGAGAGCTGAATTAATATTAATAATAATATTCCTTGCATTTGATATAGCACATTATCGCGGCTTTGAGACGTCTCAAAGTGCTTCACAGAACATACTATAACATCAACTTTGGTTCACGTACAGCAATGAACTCCGGATATGTTAGTGATTGTATTCTTTCTTAAATGGCTCCTATTACATATTTAATTTTATTCATTTTCACCCGCTGATAACGTAGCACTTGGTGTTCACAAGAAAAAATTGTATTAACGAGATTCAATCTTTGGAACAGGTTATTATTAAGTCTACATAATGGCATTTCTTAAGTCTTTTAGAAGTTCTTTTTTNATCCCTTTATTCGCTGCCAGAACACTACTTTTTAAAAGATCTTAAATAAAATGGCACATGGAGTACTCTAAAAGTACTCTGTGTGTACTTATTTATGGCAGTGATTGTTTGTGATAATGTCTTAATCATTTTGGTTGTGATATTTTTGTCTGATGATGATAATAATAATAATCCTTGCATTTGATACAGCGCCTCGCCATGTCGGTGAGACGTCTCAAAGCGCTTCACAGGATATATTGTACAGTGAATGGACTGTATATTTTGTGGGCAAAACGCGGCAGCCGTTTGCACAGGGCAACCGACAGCATCCCACAAAAAGCGGTGGATTGAGTGACCAAATTATTATGTAGTTCCCCGTTTGATGTAACTTCATAGTGTACGGAGTAGAAGACGCCAACGTTAGTTCTCCAAAAGAAATTCAGTCCTGGAAACTTGGTCAGTGGATACGACCAGCTTTAGCTCCTAAAATCATATGAACCAGTCTAAAATGACTGTATGTTCGTGACCTGATGTCTTTCATTTCTCCACAGGGATCTCGGAGGAGAGAGAGCGGCATGCTTTGACCACAGACGCACTGTACTCAGTCTAGAGAACTGCAGCAATTTCAGCACCATGAGATGCACCTTCACCAGCACAAAACACGTCCAGTTCCGTTAAGACATCGCTTGACCACTGGAGGAAGCTTTGCTTTTTATGTGATAAGGGGTTATCACAAATAGGCCCCAGCTCCTGGTAAGTAAGCAGCGTACCCAGGGTTATGTTAACAAGCCTGGTTTACCTGAATTTATTAAACAGAGGTAGTGATAATGAAGATGATAATAATAATAATCCTTGCATTTGATATAGCAACTTATCACTTCTTCACACAAGATACGGTAAAGTGAATTGACTGTCATTTGTGGGTGAAACGCGGCAGCCAATTGCACACAAGCAGTTGTGGATCGAGTGTATACGTATCTGATACCAGCAAAAAAAAAATCTAGTTATTTAAGAGTTGACGGGCGAATCGGATTTGGAAAGATAGGTCTGTTTTGCTAGAATACAGACGGTTAAATTGGGAGGGTGTGGAAATCTAATTTTAAAAATTATGATTGATTTCTCTTGGGGCAAATAAGTCAAGCTATTTTTACTAAATAGCAGGTCAGAAATCAGAGGACATAAAAGGAACAATATCACAAAGGGGGGAAAAAGTTGGAGATTAGTTTTAGTTTCACACAGAGGGTGAGTAAGACCATGGAATGATTTACAACAAATATCGTGAGGCCAAGTCCATAAATATGCTTGAAAGGTAATTGGACACTTGTTAAAGGAAGGAGGATACTAAAAGGTTATGGGGAACAGTGGCGGGTGGAATTGGAGTAGGAAGCTCTGATGGCAATGCTAGAACGAGCAAGGACATGATGGGCCGAATTGTCTTCCTTTGCATAAACATTTTGTGGAGACTTGTAGCTCAGTGGTTAGAGTCCTCGCCTCGCAAGCGAGTGGAGCCAGGTTTGATTCTCTGGCAGGGGGAAGGTTGGGCAAGTTTCCTTACTCCACACACACACACACACGCCTCTGTTTACCTAGCAGAAAGAAGGAACCCGGTTGTTAGTCGATTGGCGGATCACTTTTCTGTGGGCAATCATTTCTTCAAAAAATGTTGTTTTAAAAGAAATAATAATAATTTGGTCACTTCAATCCACGACTGTTTGTGGGGACGCTGCTGTGCGCAATTGGCTGATGTGTTTCGCCCACAAAATATACAGTCAATTCACTTTACAGTATGTCCTGTGAAGCGATTTGAGACGTCTCAAAGACGTGATAAGGCGCTGTATCAAGTACAAGGATTATTATTATTATTGTCGTAATCTTATGGCTCAATGTTCCACGTTATTCCAGCAAAACACGGGCTGTGTTTCTGCCACAGGTCCTTGCTGTCCAGCACGCCCTCAATTATTTTCACTTCTGAAGATGTCCAATAGTAATAACGCTCAAGAAACTTTGGAAATCATGAAGGAATCGGAGAAGAAATTCGTGGAGGAATCTGTAATCAAAAATAAATCCATGTGCAGATCTTCCAGTAAAGAGGAGGTGGAAAAAGAGGTGGATGAGTCGAATGCACAGTTGGAGACACAGGTGAGCAATGGAGTGGGAGGGGTGGTTCAAAGAGGTCTTAAGATATTGCAATTGAAAGAAAATAGCGTAGTTGCTTTCGAGCCTTAATTTGCCCGATAACTCGTGCCATAAGAATAACAGAAGAGCTTGTGCTGGTTCGATAGGGGTTGCTCTTCAGAGGTTGAACATTGTTGTAGTAATAATAATAATAATCCTTGCATTTAATACAGCGCCTCATCACATCTTCGAGACGTCTCAAAGCGCTTCACAGGATACACCGTCAAGTGAATTGACTGTATATTTTGTAGGCAAAATTGAGTACTGTACTGGAGTAGAAGGATCCTTAGCCCTCGTAACAAGTGACTCTGGAATGGCTGATGCTGAGATTGTTTGCAGAAAGAAGAAAGATTGCTCTGTGTTGATTTCTTTCTCTGTTTCCCAATGTTTAAGCAACAGGGCCTGTGCATGTTTCCCCACTTTGCTAAATCGACACAAGACTGACTAAAAGGCCAAATTGGAGTGACTGACAAACCATCCTTGTCTTTTTTTATGGTGGTACAATCACACCTTTACTGACACGGTGCTAATATATGTGGTGTTCAGAACGTACACGACTTTGTGCGTGAGATGTTTCCTGGCATGGCTAAATGTCTTCTGTTTTATTCCGACTCCTCAGTCATAAATGTCTGAAGACGGGATTTTGCAGTGGGACAGTTAACCAGGTTTGAAAGTTCCAGAACAAAAGGGGGGGGGGGCATCATCTTAAAATTAGAGCTGAGCCATTTAGAGTGAAATCAGGAAGCATTTTTTCACACAAAGGCCAGTGGGAATCTGGAACTCTCTCTCTCTCGCTCTCTCTTCCTCCCCCAAAAGGCTGATTATCACTGGATCCATTCACATTTTTAAGACTGAGGTGGAGAGATGTCCGTTAGGTCAGGGTATCAAGGGATATGGAGCAAAGGCGGGTAGTTGGAGTTGAGGTACAGATCAGCCATGATCTAATAGGATGGCGGAACAGGCTCAAGGGGCTGAATGGCCTCTTCCTGTTCCTATGAATTCAGGCCAGACAGATAAACAAACCTTTCGTTGGTCTGTTTGTCGTAAGGGTCTCGGGTGAAATGACTTGCGGGTCATCTCAAGCCAATTCCTGGTAGGCTTGAGCTTTCTACATAAAACTGCTCCATATTTGTCATTAAATTGGTCTCTTAGACATCTGCTGTTGGAAATTGGAAATGTAACATTTGAATTTGAGGCTCGGGCACATTGTTTGGGACATGTCCCAGTGCCTTGGGACCTCCTCCGGACGTGAAAGCGGCTATATAATGTAATTTTGTATTGTATATCAAGGCAGTTACAGGGGAGCTTTCCTCTGCATCGTACCGTGCTATACCTGACTTGCAAGCGTTTTGAAACAGAAATTAACATTAACAAATAGAAAAATACCCAAAGTATTCCATTCCCAGCATTATTAACTGAATAAGCGCAGAATACGTTGGGGTGGCGGGGAGTGAAAGAATGAACTGTTTGTGTTTTTCTTTTTATTCCCCTTGTGCTGCATTCCCTGGCTGAGCATGAGAGCGTTTTTAACCAGATAATGAGAAAGTTTGTATGGTTGGTTAAACCCCATGGTTTTTCCCCTCCCCTCGTCCCCCTCGCCTCTCAGCTCCTACCCCCCAGCTCATGGGCCCAACCAACAGAGTTGAGAGATTTGAGACATCGTTTCCCAAGTGAAAGTTACTGCATCAATGTTAATAAAAATAATAATCCTTGCAGTTGATATCGCGCCTTATCACGTCTTCGAGACGTCTCAAAGCGCTTCATAGGATACACTGAAAAGGGAATCGACTATATTTTGTGGGCGAAACGCGACAGCTATTTGCGCACAGCAGCGTCCCCACAAACAGTCATGGATTGAGTGGCCAATTATTATTGTTTAATAATCAACATTAAATAATTGAATGTTCAATTATATTGTGATCAAGTCATCCTTTCTGAAGCCTGCATTCAAGCCACTTTCTTATGCCTGTCCCTTAAAACGTAAATGCTAATTAAAGGTAACTAACAAAGAGAACTTTTGTGTACTGGAGACCTCTGCAATGCTATCATGAATAGTGACCACAGCTCATTTACAACGTCATTGAACTGGAACTTAGCGACGTCTCTGTAGCTATATAAAATGGTTGTTCCCGTGCGGCCTGTAACCAAAGCCTGAGGCCCCATTCATAAGTGCTACACTGCAGTAATTGTACAGATGTTTTATAGCACTTGGAACAATTTGGCAGTCAGATGCAGTGCAAACTCACCATTAAAGGCAAACCGAATGATCAGTTTTATCTGTGCGGTGGTTGGATAGGACACTCTCTTTCTGAATAGCGCCGTGAGATTATTAACAGACCTGTCTAACCTCTCGCAAACAACGCACCTTAGACAATGCACTAGAGTGTCACTGTAGACCAAGGTGATCCAACTGGTGACCCACGGGCCGCATATGGCCCCCTCCTCCCTCCATTTCATTTGGCTCACCCGCTCCCTCCATAATCCCTAAATGCTATGATGTTTCTGGAAGGGAAACACAAGAATATTGCAGATGTTTCTCAAATAGGGCATCCGGTCCTCACCCCAGCAGCCAATAGGTTGGACCTCCCTACGCCAGGACTATGAGCTAAAAGTCATGACGTGGGGCAGCTTTCTAACTCCGGGGCAGGAGTGCTAGCGATTGAACCCAGGGTGACGCGTAAGTCAACTAGTTTGAGTTGACTTATAAAGACGGTAACAACAACAACTAGCATTTGCACAGCGCTCTTCATGCAAGGTAGCGTCCCAAAGCACTTGACAGTGGCGTAACACGACACCAAGCCAAGGGGTGACACGGTCGAAGAGGAAGGTCTTCAGGCGCAACTTGAAAATGGGGACGGAAGTGGGGAGGCGGAGGGAGGGATAGAGGAAGAGTCTCGGGGCGTGATGGCTGAAAGTACGGCCACCAATGGTGGAACGGAGGGCACGGGACACAAGCAGGAGGCCGGAGCCAGTCAAGCGGAGGCAGGAGGTTGTGGTTTGGGGGTTGGGGGGGTAAGCATGTCGGAGAGGGAGGGAGGTAGGAAGGGACTGGCGTATAGAGGGGGCGGGTGGAGGGGTTTGGGGACCGCGTGATAGATGGAGAGTGGGGTAGTCAGTCCATCAGGTTGTCCCTGTATGAAAACCCATCCAAATAATGGAGTGACAACAGCAGAAGGCGATGTGGTGGTTAGAAAGTTACTTGTGATGTTCCTGAGGGTGACTTGACGTGCAAGAAAATCTTCTTTGCTGATCTGACTCCTGTTTTGTTGCAGCGAAAAACACAGAACCACGGACACTCGAGGAGAAGATCCAAGGTGAGGGGGATGTTTGTAATTTCAACTAAATAATGTCTGCAGTGTGTGTGTGTGTTCTTTTTTTTAAAAAAATCTTGGCTTCGTTGAGTGGAAAATGTTGTGGATCCTGCACAGAAAGTAAATCGCAGCCTTCTGTAAATATTTGTGCTCCTCAGGTAATTGTTGGCCCAATCTCTTCCTTATTTTATTGGAAAATTGCACTTAAGTCCAGGTTAGCATTAAGTCATGCAGTTGGTTTAGCGTTTAAAAGCTCGCCCCAAAAAGGCTGCGGATTATGACTGGACTCATTCAAATTTTCGAGACTGAGGGGAGAGATGTTTGTCAGATCAGAGGATCGCGGGATACAGGGTAATTGGAGTTGAGGTACAGATCAGCCATGGTCTAATAGAATGGCGGAACAGGTTCGAGGCATTACACAGAGACATTGCGATTGGCTTCAGCCTCTCTGACTTGGGAGGAGGTGGAAAATCAGTCTATATCCTAGTTTAATTGCTATTCAGTTCCCCCACCACTACCACCAATACCTGCGTTGGGATCGGTTGGAGATGAAGATTTCTGTTGTTGTCTAACAACAATTTGCATTTATAGAACGCCCTCACACAGTGTAGCGTCCCAGAGCGCTTAAGCTTGCTAGGATTCCCAGCTATTTAGCCTCCCACATGAAAATGGGTGAGGATGGGATATCTATAGAACTACAACTATTTTTTTTGTTCGAAAAAAGTCACAATCTTGAGTCGATTCGAGGGGGAAGAAGATGAGACAAAAAAAAGCTAAGCGAAGGCTCAGAATTATAATTATAATAATCTTTACATTTGATACAGCGCCATATCACGTCGTTGAGACGTCTCAAAAGGTTTTCCCCGGGTACGCTGTAAAGTGGGTTGTCTGTGAATTTTGTGGGCGAAATGCAAGTATTGAAATAAATGTGTAAAATGGATAATAAAATGCCCCCCGATTATAAAATAATTTTCCTTATTCCCTTTCAGTCCAATTCTAAGTTAAAATTGGTGCGGAGCCTAGCTGTGTGTGAAGAGTTTTCCAATCTCTTCACAGGCGAAGGGACTCAGGATATCCAGGTAAAACAAAACTAACAGAGCAATGACAGAATAATAATGAGCAATGAGACCAGATTGATTTCACCATCCTAACTCTGGCTTTCAAATCACTTCACCCCCTGCCACCCACCTACTTCTCTGCCACCCTAACACCACACTTTAGTGCCTCGCCCCCTCCCTTGCCTCCTTCAAGACCCGTCTCGAGACCCTCCTCTTCGACCGTGCCTTCGTTCACCCTCTTACCCCCTACCCTCTCTCTGCCCTCCAGCCGTGCTTTCAGCTACTACGCCCCAAATCTCTGGAACCCCCCCTGCCTCAGTCTTGCCCCCTCCCCACTCTTTGCCTATCTTAAAATTCAAGATCCTCATCCTCACCTACAAGGCCATTAACGGCATCGCTCCCTCCTACCTCTCTGACCTACTATCCCCCTACCTACCTGCCTGTACCCTCCGTTCCTCTGGCTCCGGTCTGCTCCACATCCCCCGCCCCAACCGCCCTACCATCGGTGGCCTTCAGCCTCTCAGGCCCGAGGCTGTGGAACTCTATCCCCAGTGCCTTTGCCGCTTCCTCCCTTTCCTCCTTCAAGGCCGTCTCAAGACCTTTCTCTTTGACCTTCAGCGTTCAGCTCCGCTCTCGACTCTCTACCCCCTCCTCGCTCCCTCCCTTCCCTTACCATCTCCCCCCAAGGCTCGGGTCCTGACCCAACTGTACAGCGCCTTGGGACGTCCTCCCGACGTGAAAGGCGCTCTATAAATGGAATCTTGTTGTTGTTGTTAAAATCACATCTGAGGACTTTCCTCTTCAACCGTGCCTTCGGTCACCACCCTCACTTTGCAGCTCGGCGTCTGATTACACTGCTGTTAAGTGCTCTGCAACTCGCATGAAGGGCCCTATATAATAATAGTAATAATCCTTGCATTTGATACAGCACCTCAATACGTTAACGAGACGTCTCAAAGCGCTTCACACGATGTCCTGTCAAGTGAATTGACTGTATGTTTTGTGGGCGAAACGCGGCAGTGAATTGCACAGATGCAAGTTGTTAGTGTAATAATCTTAGCATTTGATATTGCGCCTTTTGCATCAGGATTATCGCTATATTTTCGAATGTGAATACTTTATCAATAAAGTTTCTTCTAGTTAATAAATCAATGATTCTGATGCCTGACTCCATTTAGGAAGAATTCTGTGGCGTAGCTTGCTTTATTATATAATTTGTTGACAAGTAAGTCATTCAGGCACAGGATGTCTGTTTCTAATCCAGTAACATTGACTTGGGGGAAATTATTATTTAGAGAGAAACAGATTGTAGGAGAAATAACCATTAAATATCACATTTACTTTAGCTATTGGGATTTAGTGTAAGTTATTGCTTGTGTCCATAGTTTCCCCTTGTGTTGATCTCAGCCGAACCACCAGTGGGTGAGTTCACAGTTTACATGTTTCCAAACAAGAAGGGGAGGTGGGAGTGTGGGGCGGGCGGGGGGTGGGGGGGGGGGAGATGCGGAGAGAGGAGAAGCTTCAATGTGCTATACCCTGGGTTTAGAGTTAGACATTGATTGAATTCGGAGGCACCGTATTGGAGAAGGATGGTCTGCGAAACCCAGTAAATGTTGGCATAAAAATAGCTGATAATAATTATTGCATTCGATATAGCGCCTTATCATGCGGTTGAGACGTATCAAAGCCCTTCACAGGATATACTGTCAAGTGAATACTTTAGACTCTAACGTGGGATTTCTTTCTGACGTGAAAGGCGCTCTACAGGTGTAATTTGTTGTTGTGTTGTTGAATTGACTGTATTTTGGAGCGAAGCTTTGTGGTTAGGAAGAGGTGTGTGCGTTCCAGGCATAGCTCAGTTTATTTCAATAACATTGTATTTCGAGAGAGACCAGCTGGCCTGGAGGCTATACAGAGTGGCATGACCCTGATAACAGTAATTATTAATTTGGCAGATTGGGGAGGGAGTAATACTTTATCCCCCCTCCCCCAATTTACCTTTCTCTCTCATTAAGTTACATACTATGTGCGGCTCTTTTAATTGCAGATACTTTGCTGAATTTTTTTTTTCTTCTGGGGTAACTATCCCGTTGCGTATATGATCCGGATACTGCGCAGATATCTCTATATTGATTCTGTAAGATTGAAATACAATTGTGCCTGATACAAAACATGCCCTGAGTAAGAGTAAGAAAATACTAATGTACTGCTGAGGTTAATAATAATAATGTTCGCATTCAATATTGCGCCTTATCATGTCGTTGAGACGTCTCAAAGCGCTTGACAGAATACACTGGCGAAAGGCTGCCAACTGCGCACAGAATGAGGTGATATCTAACTTGGAGATTGATTTATTGCAGCTAACTATTGCCCGTCCATCCATCTATCCGAGGTCGATTAATTGCTTTAAACATCTTTTGTCAGTCTCCCTACAACTCTGCTGTGCTTTGCAGGATGTTATCCAACTGCAGTTCACTTGCCCTTCTGATAAAGAAGAAGAAAAGTCTTCGAAGGATGGCTCGGAGAAAGAGGAAAAGAACAAAGAAAAACTGGAGCGAGGTCCGAGGAAAATGCTGTCAAGAGGTAAGAAACACAACGTTTTCATCCTCAGACCTCTTAAAGATGTGTGTTCTGTGAAATTTTTTTTTAATGAGTGCCGATATTTGGACCTCAAAACTTTTGGCAGCTGGAAGTGCTGAAAGTCTAATAAAACCGTAGTAACTGTGTCAAATACATCAATGCAAAACGCCAAATGCGAAACAATTGGGAAATCCTGAACTGTTTTTAAACTCTCGTTCAAGTAAATTTGTAACTAATATATCGGGCTGTTGTGAAAAGTTTTTTCCGTTTATTAATACATGATGGACGGCAGAGCGCATAGGGCTGTTTTCCCCGTGAATGGTAACTTGGTGAGATCACAAGGCTTGTTTCTTTCGCTGATCCGGTCTTCTGTTAACACGCCATATGCTTCCCTTTCCTGTACGTGTGTTTTAATGAGCTGGTTAAATGTTTTGAGATATGCTTCCTTGCATCATGAATTCACTTTTCCACTGTCGCTAATTGATCCTCGAGAGATAAACGACAACAAAAGTAGTTAACTCTGCATCGATTAACTTCGAAAGAAGAACTGGATAAGTACCTGCGCGAGAGCAGCCATGACGGATACAGATGGGTGCCAACTGAGATTAATAAATACTCCAGGGCGCTGAAAGATGTCTAGGGGATTGAGGCCGAGTTATTAGAGAAGGGAAGGAGCCTAGTTTGGTAAAATGTGGGATGGTTGATTGGCTTTGATATCTTATGCAACAACAACTATTACCAGTACTACTTGCGTTTACACAGCGCCCCTCACGCGCCCCTCAGAGCGCTTGATGTAGAGCAGCACGACATTCAACCAGGACTCTGCATTCGGATCATGAGAATTCTCTAGACCAAAGAAGACCGAGGTCCATCCAGTTCACCTTCCACCATCCATCGCGTTTCGCCCACAACTATACGGTCAATTCACTTTGCAGTCTATTCTGTGAAGCGCTTTGAGACCTCGAGAAGATCCAAGCGTTATTATATTATTATTATCCTGGCAGTCGCTTGCGCTTGCCATGTCCCAAACTGTATACTGCATCCCCGAGATATTATTTCCTATTGGAAGTCGATCTTGTTTTCTTTTGAAAGAATCAACACTTTTTCGCTTCCATCTTCTGTCACCCTCGGGATCCCATTCCCTACGTTTACTACTCACTCACTGGAACAGTGTTTCCGCAGAATAAAAACATTAGGACTCTCGACGGTGATCAATTTCTCCCGTCGCTGGCGGAGGCTCTCTCTCTCCTGTTTCTCCTCGTTGCCAGCCAAAGCTCCAGAAATAGTGGTTTGATTTTGTCTCGGGGCCTGTTCCAGCTTTGTGACAAATGAGACTATAAATATTGCAAGAATTATAAATAAACGGGTCAAGAGACCGACACCAGCGGGGTGTTTCCCTGTGACCGCCACGCCACAGGAGTGCTGCCACAGACACGCAGGTCCTTTAACCGCAACAACTTTCATTTACACAGCGCCCCCTCACGCGGGGTAGGGTCCCAGAGCGCTTGACAGTGGCGGAGCAAGACTCCGAGCCGAGGGGTGGTGGGGGGATTGACTGTAGGCACGGTCAAAGCGGATGGTGTTCAGGCAGAAACCTGAAGGCAGGCAAGGAAGGAGGCGAGACGGAGGGGTTGAGGGAGAGAGTGACAAGAGTTTAGGGGCGTACTGGAGTGGGGAACAAAGGCCGTGCAGGTCGCGAACTGCAAATCTTTGATATCAATTGCGATCGGGCGTCTGCTGTAAAGTAAAATGGCCGGATTTAATTCCGAGCACAGGCAGATCATTGACAAATCATCCTCGGCTCCTTTGAGTCGTGCTGGAAGGTAACGAGATTACACAAAACCGAGGAACATCCTGCAGCTATTTAGAGGAAATTTGATTATTGGGCTCACATTTTCGCTGATGTTATCATTCGGAAACTTTTCCGGGAGACTAATATTCCCCTCTAAAAATAAAATAAGAATAATAATCAGTTGGTCACTCGATCCACGACTGTTTGCGGGGTCGCTGCCGGGCGCAATTGGCTGCCGCGTTTCGCCCACAAAATGTACAGTCGATTCGCTTTACCGTATGTTCTGCGAAGAGCTTGGTGAACAGAGGCGTGTGAGCCGAACAAGGAAGCTTACCTCAGGTTTCACCCCGTGCCTCTCGCCCGGGAATCGAACCCGGGTCCTCTGGCTCGCGAAAGTGCCCAAAGCGCTGAAAAGAGAGGGAGAATTTGAAAAAGAAAATCTCTGGTGGCGAAAGTGAATCTACCGTTGCTAACACATGGCGGTTGTGCTTGTTCTGACAGATTCTAGCCAGGAGTACACCGACTCCACTGGAATCGATCTGCACGAGTTTTTAGTAAATACACTGAAGAATAATCCCAGGTAAGTCGAGTTCATATGGTGGCGGTCAACCATGACTTGTCTTCACAGAACTGTTTACGCCCGGCTGACTAGTGATCGCTTCGCAGGGGTGGATTGATGCCTCCTTAATTAATGGAGATAAACTTGAAAATTGCACGTTAATAATATAACGCAGCTGTTTGGTTGGCAAATCAGCGCAGTAATATCCAGATGTGCTTCGTCATCGAGGCAGAGCACAACTGTCCCTTAGAGACAGTTACATGTCAGGGCTGTATCTCAGAACTGCAACAGATGACTACGGCTGCAGCTTTTTACTGTTATGTCCTATTAAAAGACTGTTTATTCTGAATTCCTGGTAAGTGCTGTTTTATAGACCGGATGGACCCAGCGCTCTATAAATCTGGTGTGCAAGGGAGTGCTTTTACAATACAATCCAAAATTACATTTACATCCCAAAGCACTGGACAGTCAGGGATTTGGACCTGAGCTGCTGGGGGGGTGGGTGGGGGGGAATCAGGGAGGGTGGAGGGCACACTGGGAGGGGTGGCCGAAGGCACGGTCGAAAAGAAGGGTCACGAGATTGATCGGCTTCCTTGTACAGTCGGCTCTTGATCGACAAGCATTTGTTTACTTAAAATGCTGTCCGTCTTGATCTAGGCCGGGGTGGGGGGGGGTGGTCATTGGTCATTGGGTCCAACCTGTTGGCCTCTGAGGGCCGGGTGCTTTTATTTGAGTGAAGTCCGCGGGCTGCATAAGCAATCTCTTCGTGTTACCCTCCCGGAGACATAAGAGGGAGCGGGTGGGTTCGAAGAGAGTGGGTGGGGAAGCAGATGAATTTGACCCAAACGTGTGCTGGAGTCTGACCAGGTGTGGCCACATAGCTTGCCGTCCGTATCACTGTCTGGCCAGGAGAAAAAGTCTTCCGGAGGCGGACTTGTTTGTCGGGCTGTTTTTAGCTGCCCGCAGTCCAGTAACTCTCTGCTTGCGATTTTGCTCTAATCCTATTTGTGAATAATTACATTATTACTTGATTAAAATACTCATTACACCCCTGTAATTCCTCCAGGGACAGGATGATGCTGCTAAAAGTAGAACAAGATATTCTGGACTTTATCAATGATAATAAGTAAGTACTGTTGCCTGTCTACTCCCAACGCTCAGCGAGCTCCGGCCCGCTCCGTGCTCCCCCCTCCACCTGCACCACCCATCCCACCCATCTCACGCGTTCGGGCCTTCAGCCTCCCTGCTCCCACCCTTCGGAAAAACTCCATCCCACAGTCCCTTCGCCTCGCTCTCTCCCTTTGCCTCCTTCAAGACCCGTCTCGAGACCCTCTTCTTCGCCTTCGGCCACCCTCCTACCTCCGACCCTCCCTGATCCCAAAACCCCACGCACCTCCGTGAAACCCCGATCACGGCCCCCGATCCCCCCCACCCCCTGCCTGCCCGCTCCATCTGTCTGCTTTGGTGAAATGAGTGGTGACGTTAGAGGTGACCCAAGGCACGGTTCCAAGATATTTCTTTTATCTCCGGGTTGAAGCACCAAAGGCGATTGCGGGATTATATTCTCTTGCCTGAACGAACGAACGAACGATTGAACGAGAGAGTGTCAGAAGCATCGACTCTGAGAAAACTTTGAATAACTTTTCCTTGTTGTGCTCTTGTTTTCAGTAATCAATACAAAAAATTTCCCCAGATGACCTCCTACCACAGGATGCTCTTACACCGGGTGGCCGCCTACTTTGGGATGGATCACAACGTTGACCAAACTGGAAAAGCCGTCATAATTAACAAGACCACGAATACAAGGATGTGAGTGCCAAGCAAATCCGACAGAATCTGGACCGCTACTCGGCCGCTAGGGTTCAAAACCCTCGTCCTCGCCTTCTAAACCCTCCGCCATCTCGCTGCTCCCTACCTCCAGGACCTGCGAATTCCACATCGAACTGTCCTCTCCCTCCACTCAGCGGTCTCCGGCCTGCTCCACGTTCCCCCCCCCCGCCTTGCCTGTCCCACCATCAGCGGTCTGGCCTTCGGTCTCTCTTTCCCCCACCTATTGTGGAATTCCATCCCACAGTCCCTTCTCCCTCTCTCCCTCGCCTCCTTCGAGGCCCATCTCAAGACCCTCCACTTTGTCCGAGCCTTCGGTCACCGTCCTACCCCCACCCTCCCTGCTCTCCATCCCTTCTGATCCTAACCCCAGCTCGAGTCCGAATCCTGACTGTCCAGCGCCTTGGAACGTCCTCCTGACGTGAGAGGGGCTGTGTAAATGTCATTTGTTGTTGCATTTCTACCTGCTTGATTTGTATTGACTTATGCTGTCCCCAGTTGCTTATCTTCTTGATACTCTATTGTCAAACGGCTCCGGTTATGCGCCAGTCTGTCGATGCTCACTCTCACACCAGGATGAAACGTTGGGCAAGTTTCCTTACTCCACACACACACACACACACACACACACATACAGACACACATATACACGCCTCTGTTTACCTGGCAACAAGTAGGAACCCGGTTGTTAGTCGATTGGCGGGTGGCTTTTCTGAGGGTAATAATTCCATCAAAATAAATGTTCTGTGAAGCGCTTTGAGATGTCTCGGAGACGTGATGACACGCTATATCAAATGCAAGGATTATTATTATTATTGACTAAGTCAGAGTGACCAATTGAATGATCCTGCTCCTCCTTGCTTTACAAGGCTGATATTGTGTGTTTTTTTAATGTATGTATTTTTTTCCTCTCTCTCTTTCCTCCGTAGACCGGAGCAGAGGTTTTCAGAGCACATAAAAGATGAAAAGAGTATGGATTTTCAGAAGAGATTTATACTCAAAAGGGATGACACTAGTCTAGATAAAGATGACAACCAGGTGAGCTCTACTCCAAACACGATGGATTCTGGATAAGGGCAAGGCTTCTGATCAAAAGATCTTTTCAAAGCTTAATATGTAGTTCAGTGGTTAGAGCACTTGCCTCGCAAGCAGGAGACCTGGATTCAATTCCCGCACAGGGCAAAACCTTAGGCAAGTTTCCTTACTACACGCACACGTGCGCACCTCTCTGTTTGCCCAACAGTAAGTAGGAACCCGGTTGTTAGTCAATTGGCGGAACACCTTTCTAGGGGTAATAATAATAATAAATTGGTCACTTCAATCCACCACTGCTTGTGGGGACGCTGCTGTGCGCAAATCGGCTGCCGCGGTTCTCCCACAAGCTATTAGGCGAGTCCGCTTTACGGTGCGTCCCGTGAAGCCCTTCGAGACGTCTCGAAAGACGTTATCAGGCCCCTGTCTCGAAAGCGAGGATTTACTACTCTCGTATTCGCTGCGTGTGGAAATTTCCCCGAGGCATGTGACGATTTATTCATTCCCTTTGCAGATGAGAGTGCCCTTGCGAGACGATCGGAGGAGTAAGTCGATAGAAGAGAGAGAGGAAGAGTACCAGAGGGTCAGAGACCGAATATTTGCTCGAGAAGTAAGCGGAAGGGAGACAATCCCCTTCCTCCCCCACCACCACCCACACACACACACACAATAAAATCGGTCACTCATTCATGGCTGTTTGTGGGACACTAGCCAATTGCGCGCAGCAGTGCCCCCACAAACAGCCGTGGATTGAGTGACCAAATTATTATCATTATGTTATTACTGTGTCATGCTCGTAAGATAGAACCAGAAGAGAGATTTGAGTATTTTTCTAGGTTTGCGTATCAAGATCTTAGCAATCGACTGCCGCGTTTCGCCCACAAAATACACAGTCAATTAATTCACTTTACGGTGCATCATGTGAAGCGCTTTGAGACGTCTCGAAGACATGATAAGGCGCTGTGTCAAACGCAAATATAATCAAATTATATTATTACTTTTATTATTAACACCATAATATTTTGCCTTTCAGTCTTCATACAATGGCTATCTGACAGACAACAGGTCAGTGTCCCACGCACAGTATGTGTTTTACAATTCTTTCTTTCCTTTCTGCTCCCGAGGAATGTCCCAAAACCTTTAGAAATGTGATTTGTTATCTTTTCAATACAACCAACAGACTCTCCAAAGAAGGCAGTTCCTCTAGTTTGCAAAAAAGGAGGCAGATTTTTAGGTATTATAACCTATTTATTTAAAAGTTCCAGCTTCTTAAAAGGGCAACGCTTTGCCAATGCATGGCTGTTTGTCGTTGGATGGCTTCGTATTGTGGTTGTGACAGTTCCATCAAGTGTTTCGCTATTGTACACAGTACCTCTTTAAGGAAATGACCCCCACAGTTTCACGTTGAGGTGGCAATTCAATCATTTAAGGCGTTTTGGGGTTTTTTTTTTTTTAAAAAATTGCTAAATGTTTTTGTTTTTACTCTGGAAACCGAAAGGCTTAATGAAGTGCAGTTGTGGACTGAGTTTTACTGCTCAGTTTTGACCGCTGGTCATGTTTGAAGCTGCGTTCATCAAAAAAGTTTTCAATTAGTCCTCATCCGGGAGTGCTGCTTGTGCCGCATTGAGGAAAAAGTTTAGAGAAGTTTTTTCTTCTTAATTCTCAGTCATTGACACTCAACGTCAACCCAACAACGCCAGGCGAGTGACACAGACAGGCTCGTTTGTGTTTTAGTTTCCCCCGCCCTTCTTATTGAGTGGACACTGTTTCCCCTCATTATTATATCACCTGGTGTTGCACACGAAACAACACCGACAAATCGCATTCACACGGCGCCTTTCACGTCGGGAGGACGTCCCAAGGCGCTGGACAGTCAGAGGTTTGGACCCGAGCTGAGCTGGGGGTTGGGATCAGAGGGCGGAGAGGGTAGGGGGTAGGTGGATGACCGAAGAGGAGGGTCTTGAGATGTGCCTTGAAGGAGGCGAGGGAGGGAGCGAGGCAAAGGGACTGGGATGGAGTTCCAAAGGGTTGGGGGGGTGGGCAGAGAGGGCTGAAGGCCTGGCCGCCGATGGTGGCACGAACCTTGATAGAAAACGGTCGTACAGGGCACCTGTAAATTGGAGGAAGTTGCTTTTGTTTTTGCGGCATTTTGGGGTCTACCAGAGGCTTCAACCAGCCTGCCAAGGTGGCCATTTTAGCGTCAGCAAGAGTTTGTTGGTGTGTGTGCATGCAATTAGATGCATTGACATGTTTCTTATGACTCATCTGGGCTACGTTGTGAATACAGTACTTTGTGCGAGCTTTTATTTTCGTTTTGTTTGTTTCAATCTGTAACCTGTTCAACGTGGAGTAAAGAGATCGTGGCCGCAGTACCATTCGCCATTTTCAAGCGTTTTGAGATGTCGGGTGGGGTTACTTTCTGCGCAGAGTACTCCTTTAGATGCTCGGGAAACTATATTCGAGGGACGAGGTACTTCAGTTATGTGGAGAGACTAAGATAGGTTGGGTTTATCCTCCTCAGAACAGAGAAGGTTGAGGGGAGATTTAAGAGAGGTGTAACATAGCATTTTTCGCGCTCAGGGGGGGGACCTCGCTGCATTTGACCTGCCCATAATTATTGCTTATTATTATTATTATTATTATTTGTTTGCTCAATATGTCCTTTAACATTCTGGGCACACAAAATAGTTTGGTAGTGCCACCAGCAGGCCAGTTGCGGTACGCGACTTTGTGAGGATGCGGATTTTTAAGTCGTCCCAAATCTTAGTGACTTAATTCAGACTTTTGTTTTCAAGTGAGATGGCGCGGCACGGCAGAATGGGCTGGCGGTAGTTAGAATCACAGAACCCTACAGCACAGAAAGGGGGCCTTTCTGCCTCACGGTGCTTGTGGTGTCTGTGCCGACTCTTTGAAAGAGCTACCAACTCGTCCCACTCCTCCCCCGCTCTTACCCCATAGACCTGCCTATTTTTCCTTTCCTTTCCGAGCCCCTTTCCAATTCCCCTTTTGACATGTCCGCACCTCTTTCAAAGCGCTGAAAGTTGTTGTGAACGAGAGATCCGCACTCCGGGGTTGCTCGTGGAAGTGGCCACGCTTTTGGAGGCCGAGGAAACACGGGAACAGGAGGAGGCCATTCAGCCCCTCGTGCCCGTTCCGCCATTCTATTAGATCACGGCTGATCTGTACCTCGACTCCACAATTACCCACCCTGTGCCCCATATTTCGCCCACAAAATACACAGTCACTACACTTTACAGTGGGCTTTGAGACGTCTGGAAGACGTGATAGGGCGCTGGATCAAATGCCAGGATAATTATTATTATTATTATTATTATTATCCCTCGATGCCCTGACCTAACAAACGTCCACTCACCTCAGTCTTGAAAATTTGAATGGATCTTTTGCCGCGCTGAGATCTTTTTTTTCGGGGTGGGGGGAGTGGGGGAGCTCGCCGACCGAGACCGAACGGGGGGGCGCGGGCGTTGGTGTTAACGGAGCAGCTTTTTTTTTTGTTTGCCGTGGCAGGGGAAACCGAGAGTGCCTGAGCAGGGCTTCGAGCAGCCGGCAGAGCAGCACGGAGACCGAGCTGAAATCCTCGGAGCCCAGGCCGTGGAGCAGCACCGACTCCGACAGCTCCAACCGCAGCCTGAAGCCCCCGGTGACCAAAGCCAGCAGCTTCAGCGGCATCTCCATCCTGACCCGGGGGGACAGTGTCGGCAAGAGCCCGGGCAACAGGGTCTCCAAAACGGGTACGTTTCCTGCCGTGGTTTCTTCTTCGGCGGCTCCCTGGCTGCGCGGTCGCTGAACCCTTGAATCTTGCGGCACAGAAGGAGGGTCGTTCAGCCCGTCGGGCCTGTCACGGGCCCCTTTGAAAAAGCCACCCAATCAATAACCACCACCACAACAACAACACCTAATGACCTTTACACGTCGGGAGGACATCCCAAGGCGCTGGACGGTCAGGGAGCCGCGCCCGAGCTGGGGTTTGGGATCGGGAGGGCAGGGAGGGTTGGGTAGGAGGATGACCGAAGGCGCAGTCGAAGAGGAGGGTCTTGAGATATGTCTTGAAGGAGGGGGAAGGCGGAGGGACTGTGGGATGGATTTGACTGTGAGTAGAAACTATGAATTTGTTGAATCACACACTTTTTTTTACTCCAATGAAAGCGAAAGTGAATTGAACGCAGGTTAATGTAATGCTGCACAGTCACGTCTGTTTTTTCCTTCAAGAAACTCTTTATATAATGTGAAAGCCTCCCGGCTCTTGCATGAATGTTATCCTGCTCTGCTGGAAATTCCACATATTCTGCGAAGAGTTTCACCCACAAAATAGGCAAGTCAATTCACTTTACAACGTATCCCGTGAGTCGCTTTGAGGCGGCTCAAAGACGTGATGAAGCGGGGTATCAAATGCAAGGATTATTATTTATTATTATATCACAATTGGAGTTGAGGTACAGATCAGCCAGGATCTAATAGAATGGTCAGAACAGGCTCGAGTGGCTGAATAAATGGCCTCCTCCTGTTCCTATGTTCCAATAGAAGGATTATTATTATTATTATCAAAATATACAGTCGATTCACTTTACTCTTCTGTCTTGTCTCTGTTGTTAGGTTTGCCGCTTGCTTCTCCCGAGATCACATCGTCGGGGTATAATATTCCCTCCGCACATCAACCTGGGAGGGCTCTTCTGTCTAACCCTACACAGCAGCTCTCACCAGCACCTCAGCAACAACCGATGACAAATCACATGCTGTCACAAGTAAGCCATCATTTCGATTCCCCCTCCAGCTTTCCCCTCTCCCCCCCCCAAACCCCAAACCCCACCACCCCAACAAAAAAAACCAGTTAAAATCCACTGTGCGTCTCAGGTTTTGTATGAGGTGAAAGTAAAACTGGCTTTCGTTTCCTGTCTTGTAAAGAAATGTCGACGCAGGATTGTGCTGGGCTGTGAATAAAGGAACCTGCTCATTATCGCATGTTAACCATGTTCCTTCACTGGCTGCCCGTTGCTGTAAGATTGCCCACAAGTCCACAGTCAATTCACTTGACGGCGTATCCCGTGAAACGCTTTGAGACGTCTCGAAGAGGTGATAAGGCGCCGGGTCAGACGCCGGGGGTTATTATGATTGAATGGAGGTCACCTGTGAACTGTGTCTGTGGGAGTGTCTGTGTGCGTGTCTGCGTGTGGTTGTGCGCGCGTGTGTGTGTGTGTGTGTGTGTGTGTGCAGAGGGGGCTCCCTCTCGTGGCTGCAGATGGGAAATTGTACCACTTCCGTGTAATTTGCGGGTTTTAGTCTGACTTGGCTGTTTCAGGATTCCTGGCTATATTAAAGGGAACATCACTTCCGAGCGCGTGTGGGAGAGGGAGAATCACTGTGAAATGTCACCTAATGTTTTATCGGTTGAGTGTAAGACGATGATGACTCCCATTAACCCCGTGTTTCTTTCTCCCCAATCCGTTTCTCTCTCTCTCTCCCTCTCTCTCTCTGTCGCTGGCGTCTCTCTATCTAGCCCCTGCCATCTCTGCAGCCCTCTGTACAGCCTGTCCAGTACTCTGCCAACTCTTGCCCCCAAGTTCTCCTGCCAGTCTCGCCTCCCCAGCAGTACACTATGGTACATGTCAACAGTTCTGTACGTTTAGTTCTACCTAAGTTGTGTCTCGATATTGGTGCGCGTTTGCTTCACCCACAAAATACACAGTATATTCCGTGAAGCGCTTTGAGGCGTCTCGAAGACGTGATAAGGCGCTGTTTCAAATGCAAGGATTATTATTATTATTATTTCCGAATAGCCTTTGGGCAGTCATTCGCTGTGTTGCTGGGAAAATTGCCACTTGGGTGAGAAACTTAAGTACTGGAGCCATAGAGCAGCAGGGAGAGGCCGGAGTCTTTAGCAGAGGAGCAAAGCGAGAGAACGAGGGGTTGGTTTTAAATTCGGAATCCAATTGCGGTCCCATGTTGCTGTGACCAGCTCCTCCCACAGTTTGTGGTGACCAGTTGTAAGCTGGGAGCTGGCTGCTTTTCTAACCTCTCCCAAATGAAGATCGTATAGGTCACCGGAGGCTGATTATCGCTCACTTCTTACTGGAAGTTTGTTGGTGATAAACAGTGCCTTATATGCCCGAGTGTTATTTTAGCAAACTGGCACTACGGGTTCAGATATGAGTCACCTCTCGTCTGTGCCAATAAATGTTGTGTATCTTTGAATCGCAGAAGATTTAACAGCACAGAGGGATGCCATTTGGTCCATCGTGTCTGGGCTGCTGTTTACTTCCCTCTGCCCCACACTGCAGCTATCTCATTTAATCCCAGCTCCCCTGCTCCTTTCCCCCAAAACCTTCAATACTTTTCCTCACTATGTACCCCTGTATGGCCTCTCACGTCTGTTCTGAACTTTACTTCTACAGCTATTTTTTGTGTTCAAAGTGTTCGTTCAACATTGTAACAGCGCTCTGTATATTTAAATCGATCTTCTAACCTCCCCTTTGCCCTTACGAATCGGGACCGAAGTTGTCTTGTGACTGATTGATCCACAGAAATACTTTGATTTTGGAAAAATAAAGACGACATGATAAGGCGCTATAACGATGGCAAGGGTTAAAATCGGTCGGTCGGTTCCCTGGGCCAATGAACGGGCGAAATGAGTCGAAATATAGTGCGAGATGCGGCTTAAGTTTATCCTACAAATTCCGCAGTCACTACACTTTCCGGCTATATTCTGTGAAGAGCTTTGAGACGTCTCGAAGATGCGATGAGGCGCTGCGTCAGATGCGATGTTGTTGTTGCTCACGTAGAGCGACTTAGCACGTCGTCAAAAGACGCCTCAAAGCGCTTCGCAGAGCTTGTTGCCCGCAGTTGGCTGCCGGGTGACGTTTCGCCCACAAAAATACGAAGCTGCGTGTGAGTGGAAGAGTGAATGATAATAACCTCTGGCTTTGCGTGCACGCCATTTAGCCTGAAGAACTCGGCAGCCCCTTCGGACAGATAAGTCTTAGCCGCCAAGGATCCACCGAAGCCCCTGACACCACCTCTGCCGTTTACCAAACCCCCGTCATATCACAGGCCAGCTACATCATGGCCTCGCCAGCCCAGTCCCTCTCCGCCCCGCAATACGCAACGACCGGACATCCCACCGCTCAACAGGTGCTCCAGCCCCAGGCTACATGCAGTCCCCTCCGCAGGTAACGTGTCCTTTAATTATTCATTTAGAATCGATCAGTCCCTAAGTAAATTTACTGTTCCCTATGCCCGAGCAGGTCGGGCCGAGGCAAAACCTTGTGCCCGTTTCCTTACTCCTCACACGCGCCTCTGTTGACCCAGCAGGAAGTAGGCAACCCCGGTTGTTAGTCGATTGGTGGATCGCTTTTCTGGGCGTAATGATTCCTTCGCGCAAAAAAAAAAATCCCCGGTTCCACGATCCACAAAATCCAGTGAATCCAACACTCCTGCGTATTAAACTCCGTACAACATAATTTCTAGCCAGGCTGTCTTATCACCGAAGGCATCGATTTCAAGATCCTCACACGTCTCTTCAAGCCCTGGCACTTCCCTCTCGACCTCTCCCGACCTCCTTACTCCCCGACCCACTTTCCGCTGCCTCCGCTCAGCTGTCTCAGGCCTCCTCCTCCTTGTCCCTCGTTCCCTCCGCTCCGCTCCACCATCGGTGGCCGTGCTTTCAGAAACTCCTGTCACTCTCTCCCTCTTCCCCATCTTCAGGTCGCGCCCTGGAACCCTATCGTGCGTGAGGGGAGCGGTGTAAATGCAAGTTGCTGTTGGGAATTAAACTAACCTGACTTTCAATTCCCTGTCTCTCCAGATTCCTGTGTCCTATTACCCTCCCGGGCAGTACCCGAGTTCCAACCAGCAGTTCCGTCCTCTCTCCCAGGTTCCGTACAACGCTCAGCGCACTCAGCAGCTGCCCCAACCGTCACAGCAAACAGGTGCGTATTCTTAACGAAACTTAATCCTCCTCTGGGGGGAGGTAAGCAGAGTCTCCTCGGGGCTGAAGTTGACGTGGAGAGAGAGAAGTGGAGGCTGTTAGCGTTTCTTAGTTGTTTAATGATGGGGGAATTCGACAGAATTCTACCAAAACAGCAGGACTAATGCAGTGCTGTTTTTATTTGCGTGTCTTGGTGTCTCGTTCGCTGTGCCGGACAGAATTAGATGTTTGTAAATGGAAAATTGTCATCGGACTGTGCTTCAAAGTACTTGGGGTCAATGTTGATAATAATAATCCTTGGATTTGACACAGCGCCTCATCATGTCTTCGAGACATCTCAAAGCGCTTCGAACGATACACTGTAAGGTGTAGTGACTGCATATTTTGTGCGAGAAACACGGCAGCCCATTGCGCACAGCTGCGTCCCCACAAGCAGTCGTGGTTTGGAGTGACCAAATATTTACCATTTATGTATCTTTTTTGTTTAACGATGTGTGCAGTTTAAATTCCTTGAATTTCGTCTCTCCCTCGGAGCAGTTTACGAAGGACAGTGTGTTTACTTTAGAGAGCGCTGTTTGGGATGGCTTCGGGTGCTGTAGTCTTGGTTGTTTAAGAGAGAGCCAGCGTTGCGGTATTGACTGAGTTTACAATTCGTGTCCGTAGCTTTGCAGGGTGTAGTTCCAAACCAGCAACAGACCTACCAGGGCATGATCCAACAGCCCCAGCCACCAGGCTTGATCAGCAATCAGAGAAGCAATCCGGGAAACCAGATGCAAGGAATGATGGTGCAGTATTCATCTGTTCCGTCGTATCAGGTAACTCAGCGAAAATGTAATCATAATAATGATCCTTGCATTCGATAGAGCTCCTTATCATGTCTTTGAGACGTCTCAAAGCGCTTCACAGAATATACTGTACTGCAAAGTGAATCGACTGTATATTTTGTGGGCGAAAATGGATGTCATGGATTGAGTGACCTTATTATTTTTGTTGAAGGGATTATTACCCCCCCCCCCCCCCCCCCCAGAAAAGCAATCCACTAATAATCGGGTTCCTACTTATCGCTAGGTAAACCGAGGTGTGTGGAGTAAGGAAACTTGCCCCACATTTCCCCGTGTCGGGAATCGAACCCATGTCTCTCGCTTTATTTTGTATAAATCAAACTTAATAGACAAACATGGCTACCAATTGCCCGGGCCAAATCTCACTAATATAAATCTTGACGTGAATGAGCAGTTTTATCTGGAGGATGGTTGCCAGGAAACTAGGGGAAAAACTCTCTTTTCAACGTGCACCTGGACGAAACAGATGGGACATTTCTTCACATGTAGGATGATGATGATGATGATAAGAGGATAGGAAATGCAGCAGACTATTTTTAAGTGAAAGTGAGAGCCACGTGGAACAGATTGCCACAGCACAGATGGCGGAATTAGAAATTACAAAGAGTTTCAAAAGGAACTAGAGAAGTTCCTGTCAACTAAAAAGGATTTGTTTTCAAATCCCTTCATGTCCTCGCACCTCCATACCTCTCCGATTTTCTTTGGGATAAGAGCGGGGTGGGGGGGGCGAGTGGGACTAGTTGGTGGCTCTTTCAAAGAGCCGGCACAGGCACGATGGGCCGAATGGCCTCCCGTGCTGTAAGATTCTATGATTCCACAAGAAAAAGAGTTTGCCGCAAACCATTTTTTCAGGACTTTCTTTCTCAACGTCTGTTGGCCGTTGGTTAACGGGTTCGCTGTTGATCACTTCACAGGTGCCAATGGCCAGCGATTCGCCGGGAGTCGTACAGCAGCCATACCAACAGCCGGTGATGGTGCCCAGCCAGTCTGTACAGGGAGCACTCCCGGGCGGGGGAGTCCCAGTGTATTATAGTGTTATCCCAGCCTCCCAGCAAAACAGCACAAGGTAAGAGATTGTTTGGGAAATAGATGTGTAAAAGGGAAGAGAAGACCTGAGGGAGTTTTATCATCGTAGTAATAATAATCATCCTTGCATTTGATACAGCGCCTTATCGCGTCTTCGAGACGTCTAAAGCGCTTCACAGGATATACTGTCAAGTGGAGTGACTGTATTTTGTGGGCGAAACGAGCACAGGGTCTAGCTGGCTCAAACTCTTGAGGCTCTGAGGAGAGGATTAGAATGAAAGTGAGGATGAAGATTCTTTCAAGCACAAATGAGATCGATCTCTGTTAGGAAATAATATCTGAGGGATTACAGTCGGGAGAGTTTTTGGGGACACGACATGACGTGTGCCAACGACTGCCAAGGACGGTTGGTGGAAGGCGAAATAGATGGACATTGGGGTTCTTGCGTCTAGAGAATTCTTATGATAAGACCAGGTTAGTGATTCTGTAGCAAGTCCTGCATTCACTCCTCGGACGGGAACTGATTCTCCTCCTTGAATCACATTCCCACTAGGAATTCCTGAGTGGGTGTCTTTAATCAGTTGTTAGCCCATGGATTCTGGATCCCATTCCCATTGTCCAGACTGAAGTGGGTAGATGTTTGTGAGGTCAGGGTATCAAGGGATACGGGGCAAAGGTGGGTAACTGGACTTGAGGTACAGATCAGCCATGATCAAATAGAATGGCAGAACAGGCTCGAGGGGCTGGATGGCCTCCTCCTGTTTCTACGAACTGTCGAGTTGAACGCGGCTTAAACTCATAACAACTTTTTCAGCCAATCGGTTGGATTCCTTCAGCCTCCCGGCCCAGAGCAGTACCAGATGCCTCAGTCTCCTTCTCCGTGTAACCCACCACCGATACAGCAACAGTACACAGGTTAGTACAACACACGCTCTGTCCCATCCACCGGCACACAATAGGACTGGTCAAAACCATCAGTACCACAACAGCCAGCATTTATATAGTGCCCTTCACGCTATGTCAAACGAGAGGATTATTATTATTATAAATAAATAAACTTTGTGTTTATATATAGCACCTTTCACATCGGGATTAATATTATTATTATTATTATTAGTCAGGCAGTGGGCCAACTATTCCATGCCGTGGAGAGTGACAAGCAGTATAGCCCGTCAGTTATCACACAAACAGGTGGCCCTCAAATCTAAGCTCAAGTGGAGATAAAAATAGGTTAGCGACAAGTGAACCCACGTAAGTGCTAGGAGTCTGATACATTATTGATGCAACGAATGCGAATTACTGATCCCAACGGTGATGAATGAGAAGCAAGTGTGTGCGTCAGAATTTTACTTTCTTTTTTTTTTCTTTGGTCTGACACGTGCGGAAACCCATCACCGTTGCTTAAGAGTCTCCAAACCCAACTGAGAATTCCACGCGTCCCACCCCACGCCTGCAGATTCCAGAGCTAGATTGTCGGAATGGAACACGCTCCTCCCCACCCACCCCCCTCTCTCTCTCTCTCTCTCTCTCCCTCTCCCTGGAGGGACACCTCCTGCTTACCTAATTCCAGAAAGTATTAGGCGCGGGTTGGAGAACCGTCTACTCACAAGCCGTCGCCCCTCGTCACGTCTTCGAGGAGAGCCTCAAAGCGCTGCACCGATCGCTACCTTGAAAGCGAACCGACTTGCGTATTTCTGTGTGGGTAACGTTTCTTCTCCCTTCCCCCCCACCCCTTCCTCAAGGTGTGGCCGCGCCAGGTCACGGAGTGGTCGTCATGCAGCTGAGCGTCCCCAATGGGCCTCAGCCCCCCCAGACGCCCCTGTTGTCCCAGTGGAACCAGTGCAAGTACTACACGGTGGAGCAGAGGGGGCAGAAATCCACAGAGCTGTACAACCCTGACACCCCCACACAGGTATATACACACACACACCCACACCCACATGCCTCAAGACCCCCTCCTCTTCGACCAACCGCGCCTTCGCATGAGTGCGTGCGTGCGGAGTAAGGAAACCTGCCTAAGGATTCGTTCTGACCCGACCGCGCCGGGGAATTCGAACCCGGGTCCTCTCGGCTTGCGAGGCGAGGGCTCTGACCAACGCGGGCAGAAACCAACCCTGTGTGCAAACCATTTGCCATTAACGGTGACGTTTTTGTTTTCGTTGGAATTTTTTTTCTCCAGGTCAACGCACAATTAAGCAGCCCGCTGAGCTCTCCAACCCAGTCGCCAACGCCAACCCCGGTGACTAACGTGACCAGCGTATGTCCTGGTTTGGCACCACTGCCGCTGATCGCTCAGTTCTCGAGACCTGTGGGGCCAGCACAAGGTGAACATTGAGAGCCGTTCCCACTGTGCGGCGAGCTGCGAGGTTTTTCCCGACGCGCAGCGCGCTATGCAAGTGTCCTTTGCGGTCGTTTTCCAGGGGGTTTTAATGCCGTAAAGTTATTACTTCTTCGTTTTAATAATCATGAATATAATAATAATAATCCTTGCGTTTGATATATTATATACATAATATACACAGCGCCTTATCACGTCTTCGAGAAGTCTCAAAGCGCTTCACGGGATATACTGTAAAGTGGTAGTGACTGTGTATTTTGACACGAGGATTCCCCCCAAACAGTCGTGGATTGAGTAACCATATTATTATTATTATTATTATACTCCTTCAAATATCGAAACACCTCAAAGCGCTTTGCAGAGTTTTCTGTCTAGTGTAAGTGCCTTTGCATTTGTGGGCGAAGGTTGCAACCAATTTGCGCACAGCAGAGTTCCCTACAAACAGCGGTGAAGGGAATGACCAATTTTTTGGCCGGGAAACCAGGGGAAGCCCCCTTTCTCCTCTCGTGTTCCTTTTGCCAGGAAATTGAACGGCCAACAACGACGACAACTTGCATTTGTATCGCGTCCCGGAGCGCTTGACAGTGGCAGAGTCTGACCCCGAGCCAGGGGGAGAGGGAGGGAGGGAGGTGACCGTAAGCACGATCGAAAAGGAGGGTCCTCAGGCAGGATCTGAAAGTGGGGAAGGGGGAGAGAGTTCCAGAGTTTCGGGGGCACCGTGGCTGAAAGCACAAACGCGCACTGCGTCCGACTGGATTTCCCTTGCGTCTTGTGTACAATTGCCTGCGTTTCTGTCCGTACCAGGTGACACCCGTTACTCCTTACTCGGCCAGCCTTTGCAATACAACCTGCCAGTGTGCCCTCCTCCAGTAATCCACGGACAGTGTCAGTACTCAGCTCATCAGGTACGTTGATCCAGATCGATTGGCTCCCTTTCCTTACAGGGTTTATAATAATCCTTGCGTTTGATCTACGAGCGCCTTATTATTGGGACGTCTTTCAGACGTGAAGTGTCCCCACAACTACACTGTGGTCCTCAGGGCCTTGGGTCGTCCTCCCGACGTGAAAGGGGCTATTAAAAAAAAAATGTCATTTCTTGTTGTTGTATTCCAAGGGGTCCTGCGGAGCGAAGCACAGTAAACGAGGGAAGAAACCAGCTCTGAAATCGGCTTCCACAGATCTTGGCACGGGAGATGTCGGTTAGTATCTAAACAGTCGGCGGGTCTTGTAAAAAGGATTTGTTTTCTTCCCGGAAAGGGAAGTTGTTTTTTGCCGGGGGTGGGGGGGAGAAGAGGGCGTTCAGGCGGCTATTTTATATTAAAAAAAACACACATTGTCAACTACATTAAGATCGTTTCTTGCAACTGATCCATCAGAAATCTAATTTGTTTGTTGTCTTTGTTGACAAACGAAGCTAGACTTTGCAGCCAGACTTCACGATCGATGTCTTTGACAAAGTGCCTCACTTATCAGCGAGTAATAATAATCCTTGCTTTTGATACTGCGCCTTCTCCCGTCTTCGAGACGTCTCAAAGCGCTTCACAGGATACGCCGTAAAGTGAATTGATGGTATATTTTGTGGGCGAAACGCAGCAGCCGATTGCGCACGGCAGCGTCCCCCACACAAGCAGTTCACACGCGTGAAAAGATCGTGGCAACAACGGCAGCAAATGACATTTGCACAGCCGCCTGCCCGTCGTGTCAGGAGGACTTCCCAAGGCGCTGGACGGGTCAGAGATTTGGACCCCAAACTGGGAGTTGGGATCAGGACGGGCGGAGGGTGGAGGTCGGAGGGTGAACTGAAGGCGCAGTCGGAAGAGGGCAGCAGTCAGCGTGCACCTGAATGTTTCTACGTTTGTTCTCGCAGTGCATTGGAGCAACATCAGCCTGCCAGGATCCTTCGCAGGTAAGTCCGTCTCATCAAAATTACTTCCTCGTTTCAGTGCGCGCTAACCTTATCCTTTCGTGCGAGGTTTAAATGCTTATCCCGCTCCTCGTGCTAAGGAATAAGCCAAACTATCCAGAGTTTCCTGTAGCTCAGTGGCTCGCAAACGAGAGGACCCGGGTTCGATTCCCGGGCGGGTCAGGTTGGGGCGAAACCTTAGGCAAGTTTCCTTACTCCACACACACACACACACACACACAGACACACACACACGCTCGCGCACACACACAGACACACACACACGCACGCGCACACACAGACACACACACGCCTCTGTTTACCGAGCAGTAAAGTTAATCCCTCAAATATATAAATAATTATTTGGTCACTCAACCCGCGGCTGTTTGTGGGGACGCCGCCGTGCGCAATTGGCTGCCGGGCTCCGCCCACGAAATACACAGTCACTACACTTCACGAGATATCCCGCGAAGCGCTTGGAGACGTCTCGGAGACGTGATGAGGCGCTGTGTCACATGCCAGCGTTACTGTTATTGTTATAAATGTTGGTGATCGACTTGAGCGCGATTTTAAAAAGGTGATGGAATCGCTCAATGTTCTCCCTCCCTCCTCTCTCTCTCTCTCTGCTCCCATTTCAGTTGTCGGTCGGATACTGGAGGTAACGGACCTTCCCGAAGGAATCACCCGTACCGAGGCCGACAAACTTTTCAGCCAGCTCTCCATGTCCGGTGCCAAAATCCAGTGGCTCAGAGACTCTCAGCAGCGCGGTGTCGGCGGCGGCGGTGGCTCAGGTGACTGCAACCGGTCGGCTGAGCACTCGAGGAGCGCTGGTGACTTAGCCGCACTTTATACCATCGTTGCCGTGTTCCCCTCCACCGTGGCCGCCCAGAACGCCACCGTCAGACTCAATAACTCCACAAACCGCTTCAAGCTGCGGTCGGCCAAGAAGAGCTACGACCTCCGGGTCCTCGAAAGGGCCAGTTCTCAGTGACGGACTGAGGGATGGACATTTGGAAGGACCCCCCCACCTTCCCCCCCGACGCTCACACACGCACACACACACACACTTTTTTCTCTTTCTCCTTTGGATGGCTATATGGCTTTGTTTCCAGTCGGCGTCGTTCCTGTAGTGCATTGTTTTGTCCGAATATCACTTTAGACATAATTAAGGAAAGTTAGTGATCTGTTGGGGGAGGTGGGGAATCGGTGCGGGGTTGGGGGCGGTGGGTGGGGGGGGTTAGGGGGGGGTGTTGGGTGGGAAGAAAAAAATATTGTTTCTGTTTCTCCCTTCCTTATTCCAGCCCCTCTCTCGCTCCCTCCGCTCCCCCTTTTACGCACCCCCCCCCCACCCCACCCTCGCTCTCCCCCCTCCCCCCCCACCACCTTACACAAACCCATGTGTATTTTTCTGTTTAGAATTGTGCAAATGTATTAGAAAGAAGCTTATTTAAGTGACACAAAACAGTTGACTGTGTACGGTCACGAGAAATTTTATTTAACCTGTTTTTTTTGTTGTTTTTTTTTTGTTTCGTTTTTTTTTGTTTGTTTTTTTTTTTTGATTTTAAATATAAAATGTCTGTCTGCCAGCCCAGACTCTCAAAATCTCCTTTGTTTTCAAGTGGTTGATTTCATTTGCCAGGCACGTCCGTCCCTAAGAGAAGACCGGTCGCTAAGCTTCGGTAAGTGACCCAACCAGGGAATGGACACGGTTAGAGGCGGCAGAGAAGCTGGTATTGATACGGGAGAAAGCGTATTGTCTGGCGCCGAGGACGCACCATAAGAACGTAAGAACTTGCCGGCCAAAAGAAGACCGAGGTCCACTCTGTTCGCCTTCCACCGTAACTGGCAGTCGCTTGACATGTGTCCTCAAACTGTTACGTATCCTCCAGATATTATTTTCTAGCAGAAACGGGTCCGGTATGTTCTTGAAACGGTCAACACTTCCTGCTTCCGTCTCCCCTCCCTCCCTCGCGAGCCTGTTCCATACGTTTTACTGCTCGCTCACTGAAGTTGTTTCTGCAGATTCTTGTTCCGAATTCACCCCCCCCTCTCAATCGCAGGCCCGTGGCCTCGGGTTCTACTGTTCGGTACACGATAAACCCGTTTATTATGGTCTACGTTATCGAGTCCCTTCAGAATCCATTTATCTGCTCAGCTCCTTCGACCACACTTTACAGTAAAATCCTGCGAGATTTTTAAGGCGTCTCGACCACACGAGGTGCTATATCAAATGCAACGATTATTATTATTATTATTATTACTACTTTGTTGGGCACATAAGCACAGGTCTCTCTGCCTCCAACCCGAGTCGCCCACCAGAGTCGGCCTGACTCAGTCGGTAGCAATCTCACCATCTGAGACGAAAGGCTGTGGGTGAAACACAGCAACCAATTGCGCACAGCAGTGTCCCGCAAACAGTCGTGGATTGAGTGACCAACTTATTATTTATTTTAATTTATTTTCGAGAGACTATTACCCCCAGAAAGCGATCCGCCAATCAACCAACGACCGGGTTCCTACTTACTGCTCGGTGAACAGGTGCGTGTGTGGAGTAAGGAAACTTAACCAAGGTTTCGCCCTGACCCGTCCGGGCATTGAACCCGGGTCCTCTCGCTCGCTTGTGAGGCGAGTGGTCCGACCGCTACAGCGCAGGACTTAGCGCCTCTCACGTCAGAAGAAACGTCCTAAGGGATGCCAAGAGGGCGGAATGGCTTTAACACAGAGCGCACTGTGCACTGGCAGCGGTTTACAAGAGAGGCAGAGAGAGGGGGCACCCTCGAACGGAGCAGTTAATACCGGGTGAAATAAGTAGCGTCAGGGCATGAAATAAAAAGTGTACGTGTCAGGTGTGTGCGTCAATTTTTGCTTTCACCATCATCACCGCAGACACACACACACACACGCACACACACATACCCTGGACTGAAGTCCGCTGATTCCAGACGATGGCAACCGCTTGATAAATAATCCTCGCATTTGCTTACAGCCCCGTCCGTCCTTGTCAGGCAGAGCAATTGTCACAATGCGCTCGACAGGACGCACTGCGAGGCGTAGTGACCGTGCGTGCTTGGTGGGCGAAGGCGGCGTTCCAAGCGGGCTGGGACGAGGTCCCGCACGCGGCCGCGGGGATGTCGTCGTCGTGGGTCGGGAGGACTGCTCAAACGTGCTCGGCGGTGCTGGCCGTGCCCCGGTAAGATGGAATAGATCAAAGGCACCGCTCTCTCCTTAACGTCGTTCCCTGCGTTGCGTACACTCGACGCTCGCCTCGCAGGCGAGGACCTGGGTGCCGTTCCCGGGTGGAGTGACGCCTAACCAAGTCTCCTTACTCCGCACACGCGCCTCTGCTGCTTATCCAGCAGTAGGTATGAAACCCGGTTATTGGTTGATTTTTTTTCTCTCGGGGGGTAACAATTCCTCGTAATGATTCTTCTTTTAAAAAAAAGACTCACTCACCCACTCACCCCCACCCCCCCCCTCGCTCTTACCCCAATTAGTCCCACCTACACCCCCCCCCTGCTCTTACCCCAACTAGTCCCACTCACTCCCCCCTCGCTCTTACCCCAACTAGTCCCACTCACTCCCCCCTCGCTCTTACCCCAACTAGTCCCACTCACTCCCCCCTCGCTCTTACCCCAACTAGTCCCACTCACTCCCCCCCCGCTCTTACCCCAACTAGTCCCACTCACTCCCCCCCCCGCTCTTACCCCAACTAGCCCCCACTCACTCCCCCCCCCCCCCCCCGCTCTTACCCCAACTAGTCCCACTCACTCCCCCCCCGCTCTTACCCCGTAGTCCTGCACATTTTTTCTTAATGTTTGTCACCCATTTGTTTCTCTTCGGTAGGATAGTGATTTGGTTGGACTGTGGCCGCGACACTCGCCCTCGTGCAGCTCCAAACCACAGCGCCTTGCGTTCTGAGTTATTGAGTGTTGACGGGCGGTTGGGTGGGGGGTGGTGAGGGGGGGGTGAGAGAGACATCACAGCCAAGCCAGAGTCTATTTGATATCCTCACATTCCCACAGTGGGTCAGTCGAGAGCAAGCTGGGTTTTTTTTCAATGCTCCCCCCCCCCCAACCCCCCTTTTAAGTTCAAGGCACTCTCACCACTTCAGCTGACATCAACCCCCCCCCCCCCACCCCCCCCTCAAATATACATAAGGAACTAAAGCTGGGATCAGTCGTGGAGTGAGCGAGTGACCAAATAGTTTTAATCATTTTTTTAATACAACGATGATAATAATCTTCGCGTTTGACACAGCGCTTTATCACGTCTTCGAGACGCCTCAAAGCGCTTCTCGGGATACGCTGCAAAGTGAATAAGAATACTCCTCAAATGTGGAAACGGCAACGACAAAATTACACGTGTACAGCGCCTTTCACGTCGGGAGGACGTCCCAACGCGCTGGACAATCAGTGTTTCGGACCCGAGCGTGGGGTCAGGGAGGGCGGTGGGGGTGGGGGGGGGGGAAATGAGGGTGACAGAAGGCACGGTTGAAGAGGATAGTCTTCAGGCGGTTCTTGGAGGAGGCAAGTGGGGCAGGGGCGAGGCGGAGGGACTGCGGGATGGAGATCCAGAGGGTTGTGGGGGGCAGAGAGGCTGAGGGCATCTCAAAGAACCCCAAGGTTTCGCCCCGGCCCGGGGATCGAACCCGGGGGTAAGGCAACCGTCTCGAATGCGAGGATTATTATCGTTATTATCAATGTGGGAAATTTCGCACCAAAGCCTTTCCTTTTAAGATCAAGTCCCTCCTATTTCTGGGGGGAGGGGGGGGGGGGGGGAGTGATCCTGATGGGATGGGGTTCATTCACAAATGAACACCCAGGGTGAGACGGAGTGAGATGAGGTGTAGAGTGAGTGAGTGAGCGAGTGAGTGAGCGCCTGGTTTGCAGATCTACATTGAATCTCCAATTACCAACCGTCAGCCCAACTCCTAATCCAACCGGAGTCTCAAGGAGCCGGAGTTGGGCAAACACACGCACACACATACACACAACGCACACACACACACAACGCACACGGACACACAACGCACACGGACACAACGCTCTGCAAAGCAACAGGAAAAAGCAAGTTGCGGATTCTCAAAACAAATGACACACACAGCAGAGTATATTATTTATATGTAAAGCGCATCTGAAGCCACTTCCCTGGTCTCTCTCTCTCTCTCTCTCTCTGCCCCTCTCTCGCACTCGCACTGAATTGGGTCGAATTGCTTTGATTTATTAATCTCCTCTGGCTTTTTAAACCTCGTCCCAACATCTTGAGACAAAAGATTTTTTTGCAAGGTTGGTACCGACTTACTTACTTACTCGCTTACTTACTTGCAGTGTAAATAAATGTAATGAAACGAACGGTCCAAAAAAAAAAAGACTTTGCCAAACAGCTTGTGCCGCGTGTCGTGTTTAAGTGTTGTCAGGAAGGTATAACTGCGTGTTTGTGGGGAGAAGGCGAGCGTTGCTAAATTTTTATTTGCTTGTAAACCTAGTCTGAAAGTCCCTTAGACTTTTTCTTTTAAGCTGCGAAAAAAAAACCTCCCTCTTGCGAACGGCGTTTGGCAGAGTTTTTTTTTAAAAAAAAAAGTCAGTCACTTGTGACCGGAACTTTTAACAGCGATAATAATAATAATAATCCTTTCGTTTGACGCAGCGGCTGATCGCGTCTTCGAGACGTCTCAAAGCGCTTCACAGAATGCACTGCAAAGTTGAATTGACCGTATGTTTTGTGGGCGAAACGCGGCAGCCGATTGCGCACCGCAGCGTCCCCCACAGATGGCTTGAAGTGACCAAATTATTACTTTATTTTATTTTCTTCTTGAGGGATTATTACTAGGCGCGCGCGCGCGTGTGTGTGTGGAGTCAGGAAACTTGACCAACGTTTCGCCCCTGACCTGCCGGGAATCGAACCCAAGTCCCCTCGCTCTGACCACTGAGCTACAGGACCGTCGGTTGGGGAAAAAATGGCACATTAAAATCGAGCCGCCTTCGCCCAAATACATCGGGAGGTTTGTTCTAGAATGTGTTTGATCAGTCAATGTATTAATCCGGGAGCTTTTTTGGGGGTTAGTGGCTGCGAGGCAACTTGTCAGTGTAATTCAATGAGTTGAGTTTGTCTCATCCACATATAGGTGGTGGGTTTCACGTTTCATGAAGTCTTAATATAGAGACTATAACACAGCTGTGTGAGAGAGACAGACAGTCACACAGACACACACACACAGAGACACACAGAGAGAGAGAGAGACACACACAGAGCAGGTAGAAGGCAACATACCGTCAAATTCAGATCTATATTAATACCATTACTAATAATCCTCGTCACGTCTTCGAGACGTCTCAAAGCGCTTCACAGGACCCACTGTGAAGTGAATCGATTGTACGTGTTAATAATAATAATAATCGTTGCATTTGATATAGCGCTTTTCACGTCGGGAGGACGTCCCAAAGCGCTTCACAGAACACACTGTAAAGTGAATTGACTATATTTGTGGGCGAACGCGGCAGCCAATTGCGCACAGCAATGTCCCACAAACAGTCGTGGATCGAGTGACCAAATTGTTTATTTACTTATTCATTTACTTGAGGGATTATTACCCCCCGGAAAGCGATCCGCCAATCGGCTAACAACCGGGTTCCTACGGACTGCCGGGTAGACAGAGGTCGTCGTTGCTGTTGTTGTTGACTGTGGAGTAAAGAAACTCACCAAAGGTTTGGAGTTGAGGTACAGATCAGCCGCGATCTAATCGAATGGCGGAACGGGCTCGAGGGGCTGAATGGCCTCCGCCTGTTCCTATAGGTCTCGCATTGTCGAAGGGAATCAGCAAGTTGTACTCGCACAGCGCCGTTCAAATAGGACAGCGTCTCAGAGCGCGACCGAGTGGTCGAGTTTCACCCGCAAAATACACAGTCACTCACTTTACGGGGTATCCTGTGGAGCGCTTTGAGACGTCTCGAAGACGCGATGAGGCGCTGCAATCGAACACAAGGATTATTACCGTTATTGTTGTCGGTTTTAACGTTCCAAAACCTCGCTTTGTCTCTCTTGTTTGTAGAATGACGGAGAAGAAAGAGCCGGACACTGCCGGTCCCCAACAGCCTGAAAGTTCTCCGGTAAACTTGGGAACAATCAGTTTATCACAGATTTTTGCTCACATCAATTTGTCACATTCCTTCCCTACTCAGTGGCCGAACTGCCAACGCCGTACAAAGCAAATTTACCTTTACACAGCGCCTTTCACGTCGATATTATATAAATATATACTTTTTTTTTACATTTATCATAATGTCAATATGATTAATGATAATCCTTTTTTTTTTTGCATTTGATACGACACCTTTCAACCTCGGGGGGCCGTCTCAAAGGGCTTCGCGGTCTGTCTGTCTGTCTGTCTGTCTGTCTGTCTGCGTCCGTCCGTCCGCTAAGCAAATAATCCCCTTTGTCATTTATTCTGGTCCATCGCAACTCGGTACCAAATACCAGCTTTGATGTGGGACATTGTGCGAGAGATGCTTTGAGAAATTCCTTCCTATTGATAGTCACGGGGTAGAGGCTGCTGAGCGAGAGGACGGGCAGGGATGGGAGGGAGGAAAGGAGAGAGAGAGGAAGGGGAGGGGGTGGGGGGGGTTGTTCTGTGCTGGACAACCAGTTGGGGGATGATAGAAATTGGAGTCGGTGTGATTGACTGACCCGTCCACCCCCTCTCTCTCACTCTCTCTCTCGCGGCGCCCCTCTGCCACTGGCAGCTGTCGTGTCAGGAGTGTCCTGTCCTGTCTCCCACATCGTTCCTGGTGCCTGATCGAGCTTTACTCTATCTCTGTGTGGGACGAGAGAGAGAGAGAGAGACCGAGGTCCTATCCTCACTCAGTCACCCACCCTTGAGCCGGTGCCTCTCTTTCTCTCTCTCTCTTTTTTGTGGATCTCCGATCTCCTCACGCCCCAACGCACTGGAGTTTAGACCATGTTTCGGGTAAGAAAACCCGAGTTAATCCAGGACGGTGGACCCACGAGGGGTTTTGACGTAGTTGTTCCCGTCGCTCAGGGGTCAGAGCCCTCTCGCCTCGCGAGCGAGAGGACCCGGGTTCAATTCTCGGGCAGGACAGGTCGGGGCGAAACCTTAGGCAAGTTTCCTTACTCCCCCCCCCCCCCCCCCCCCCCCCCCCACACACACACACACACACACACGCGCGCGCGCGCCTCTGTTTACCACCAGTAAATAGAGACCCAGTTGTTAGTCGGTTGGCCGATCGCTTTTCCAGGGGTAATAATCCCTTAAAAATATATAACAAATTGGTCGCTCAGTCCACGGCTGTTTGTGGGGACGCTGCCGGGCGCGATTGGCTGCCATGTTTCGCCCACGAAACACACAGTCACTCCACTTTACAGTGTATCCTGTGAAGCTCTTTGTGACGTCTTAACGATGTGATGAGGCGCCGGGTCAAATGCAAGGATTGTTATTATTATTATTATCTGAAGACCTTCCTCTTCGACAGTCACCTCCCCACCTTCCCCCCGACCCCGGCTCTGCGTCGTGCTCGGTTACTGTCGACCCTGCCCTCCGCGGGGGGGGGGGGAACGCTGTGTAAATGCAAGTTGTTGTTGTTGTTGGTTGATTTGCCGTCCAGCTGCAGCAACTGAAGACCGTTTTTCAGAAGAAGAAGGAAAAGGAGGCGAGCACAGAGGAGATTCTGCCACCGCAGCCCAACGGGGAGATTGTGAACACGGCGGGTGGGGTCGTGTACTACTACTACGAGGAGGAAGAGGACGAGGAGAAGGAGGAAGAGCCTCCCCCTGAGCTCCCCAAACCCTTCAACGACAAACCCCACAAGTTCAAGGATCATTTCTTCAAGAAACCCAAATTCTGTGACGTCTGCGCCAGGATGATTGTCCGTAAGTGAATGTCCCGCTCGTGTGGTCTTCTCTCCCTCCCCCACACTGACTCCCAGCCCTTTTTTATCAAAGGTCCTGACTGGACAAGCAGCGGGAAAGCTCGGCCAGACAGCGCTCTCTCTCTCTCTCTCGATGGCAGAGCTCTGTGTGGGTTTAGCCGGTTAGACTCCAGCAGTTACCCCCCAACGCACACTCCGATGTGCTTATCCATTGCGGACGACTGTTTGTGGGGACCCTGACGGGCGCCATTGGCTTCCGCGTTTCGCCCACAAAACAGGCGGTTAATTCACTTTGCAGTCTATGCTGTGAAGCGCTTTGAGACGGCTCGAAGGCTTGAGCGCCATGTCAGATGCGAGGATTATTATCATCGTTATTATTATCATTATTATTACTAATGCACGTCCCACACTAACTCCTCCCGTGTTCGTTGTTCACCCCCACAGTCAACAACAAGTTCGGTTTGAGGTGCAAAAACTGCAAGACCAACATTCACGAGCACTGCCAGTCGTACGTGGAGTTCCAGAAATGCTTCGGCAAGATCGTAAGTCGACGACGACGACGACGACAACGACGGACATTTCTGTGGCTTTCTCGTTGCGTTGCGGGGACTTGTTGCTGACCTGTAAATCTCTTCTCCCGTTAGCCTCCCGGGTTCCGTCGAGCTTACAGTTCTCCGCTCTACAGCAACCAGCAGTTCGCCTGCATCAAGGAGATCCTCCCTTTCTGTGAGTAATTCGCCGGCTGCGTCGTACGCACAGAGGCCGTAGAATCCTAAGGCGCAGAGGGAGGCCATTCGGCCCATCGGGCCCGTGCCAGTTCTTTGAAAGAGCCGCACGACTAACCCGCTTCACTCTCCCCCCCCCCCCCCCCCCAGGCCCCAACGCTCTTACCCAAAGCCCTGCACACATCGTTCCTTTCCAATTCCCCTAACCAATTCCGATTTATTACCCAGAGAGCTCCAGTGTGTGAGGGGGAGCGAGCCCCAGCACAGACACGACGATGGGGGGTGGGGGGAGAGAGAGAGAGAGAGAAAGAGAATGAGAGAGGGAGAGAGGTGTGCGCGGAGATACGATCCTCACACTTTCTCTCCTGTCTCCTCAGCCATCGCCAACCACTCCGACCCCGTTTACGAGACCCTGAGGACGGGCGTCGTCATGGCGAACCGCGAGAGGAAGAAAGACGACAAGAAGAACGTAAGTCTTTCTCCAGTGACTCCCCGGGGAGGGACTTGGACATTTATTTGAAAAGGAAAAACGTGGGGGGTGGGGGTGGGGGGCTATTGGCGATGACAGCGAGGGGGTGGGTGGGGTAGTGAGTGGGACTAGTCGGTAGCTCTTTCAAAGACACGATGGGCCGAATGGCCTCCTTCTGTGCGGTAGAGATTCCCTGGTTTGTAATGTGCTCTGTGTGTGTGTATTGGCAGCCTATGCAGATGGTGGATGAGGAACTGGATTTGCCCAAACCTGGAGAGGAGCACATGCAAGGAGGTAGGTCCTGGGTGGGGGGGGGGGGGTTACCCCGTGGGGAATGGGGGTGGTGGGGTTAGGGGGTTTGGGCAGGTATTACAGGAGGGAGAAATTACACCCCAATTTATTATTATAATAATAATAATAATACTCCTTTGCATTTGATACAGCGCCCGATCGCGTCTTCGAGACGTCCCAAAAGCGCTTCACAGAATCTGCTTTGCTGGGGGCAGGGAAAGTGTAGTGACTGTATATTTTACGGGAGAAACACGGCAGCCGATTGCCCCGAGGAAACTTGGTCCAGGTTTCGCCCTGACCCGACCCGCCCGGGAATCGAACCCGGGTCCTCTCGCTTGCGAGGCGAGGGCTCTAACCCCTGAGCTACAGGGACTTCCATTGACAGGCTCTGTGTGTGTGTGTGTGTGTGACTCCAGGTGGAGAGGCGACAGAGAAGAAAGGAGATATGAACAGCCCGGATGATGCCAAGGTAACGATCCCAGCTCTGGTGTGCTCCAGGATGACCAGAGAGTGAGCGTGACGTACATACCCGTGATAATTAGCACATCAGGCGTCGCCTTTTCATCCCAGGACGGGCCTGACTGGCTTATTAAGATTTTATGAACCAATCCCTCACCCCCGCCAACCCCCAAACACCCCACTGCCCTGCCACCCCCCGCCCCACCCACCCCCCCCCCCCCCACCACCCACAACAGAGGTGTGTGTGTGTGTGAAACTTGTCTAACATTTCGCCCTATTCCGCTCGACCGGGTATCGAACCCTTCACGCAGGGTAGTGTCCCAGAGCGCTTACACACATACACTCACACACACGCGCACTCACTCACTCACTCACTCACTCACTCACTCACTCACACTCGCGCACACACAAGTTTACCAGGTGACCAGTAGACGCCGATACAAACCCTTTGGTTGTGTTCAAAGTGCTCTGAGGCACCACCCTGTGTGGAGGGCGCCTCTATAAGTACAAGTTGTTGTCGTGGTTTATTTTATTTCTCTCTCTCTCCCTCTCTCTCCCTCTCTCTCTCGCGCGCTCGACAGAACAAGAAGCCGCAGCCGGGAATGCGTGGGGGCTTTTTACAGACGCACTATTTTGTCGCCTTGTACAGATACAAAGCAACGGAGAAAGACGATGTGGATTTCCAGTGAGTCCAATTTCGGAATCCCGGCTCCATCGCCATCCGCACCTTAGCTCGCCGCGTTTCCGGTGGTGGGAGGGGTGGGGACGATGGGTGGGGTGGGTGGGTGGGGAATAATAATATCCTTCCCAGAGGGAGAGAAAAAATAATAATGATAATAATAATAATTTGGTCCCTTCAATCCACGGCTGTTTGTGGGGACGTCGTTGGGCGCAATTGGATGCCCCGTTTCGCCCGCAAAATACACGGATTAATCGCTCTGCGGTCTGTCCCGCGCAGTGGCTCTCGAGACGTCTCAAAGACGGGACGAGGCGCTGTATCAAATGCGGGGATTGCGGTTCGTTATCAATGTCCGATATTTGTTCCATTTTGGTTTTTTTTTGTGTGGCTTGCAGCGCGGGGGACAGAGTGACCGTGACCGACGACTCCAACGAGGAATGGTGGAAAGTGAGTAATAATCCCCGCATCCGAGCCCGTCGCTCGTCGAGACGTCTCAAAGCGCTTCACGGGATAGACGCGGATAAAGTGTGTGTGTGAGTTTTGCGGGCGAAACACGGCAGCCAATCGCACCCGGCGACGTCCCCACAAACAGCCGTGGATTGAAGGGACCATATTATTATTATTATTATTATTATTATTATTATGAAGGGATTATTGCCCCCAGAAAAGTGATCCGTCAATCGACTGACAACCGGGTTCCTATTCACTTGTAGGCAAACGGAGGTGTGTGTGTGTGGGGAGGGTTGGGGTGGGGGGGAAGTAAGGAAACTTGACCAACGTTTCGTCCTGACCTGACCCCCCCCCCCCCACCCCCGGGTCCCCTCGCTTGCGAGGCGAGGGGCTCTAACCCCTGAGCTACAGGGGCTGCAGACTGTAGATTAAGCTGTTGTCTCCTCTTCCAGGGCCGGTCAGGGGAGAAGGCTGGCTATTTCCCGGCCAATTATATCATCAGAGTGAGGGCCGGGGAGCGAGTCCACAAAGTCACTCGCTCCTTCGTGGGCAACAAAGAGATGGGGCAGATCACGCTGAAGAAAGATCAGGTACTGCTCACCTGTCCCGCTCACCTGTCCCGCTCACCTGTCCCGCTCACCTGTCCCGCTCACCTGCATTGTTCACCTCTGCTGTTCACCTGTGGTCTCACCTGTCCTCTTCACCTGTGTTACTCCCCCTTTCTCCCTCGCTTGGCGTCTGACCCCATCTGCTCCGAGGCGCTATCCTGCGTTCAGAGCGCTGCGTCAATGCACGTCGTGATTGTTGGTGGTGGTGAATCGTTGCTGTCTGGAGAGGGGGAGAGAGAAATGTGTGTGTCTTTAGGTGGGTGGGTGTCATTTTGTGTGTGTGGGGGGGTGGGGGGGGCTGGGGGTGGGGGGGCTGGGGGTGGGGGTGGGAGAGGAGGTGTTAGTGAGTTGTTGTGGTGGTGGTGACTCACTCTCTCCTCTCTCCTGATGGCAGATTGTGGTGCAGAAAGGGGAAGAGGTCAACGGCTACATCAAGGTGTTCACTGGAAGGAAAGTGGGAATGTTCCCCTCGGACCTCCTGGAGGAGATCTGACCCCAAACAAGGGGCCAGAAGAGCCTTGAGGGGAGTACGAGACTTGCTACCTCCAGTCGCTGAGGAACATCTGACAGTTTCCCACTTACTACACTATTGCAAAGGAAAGTGCTTCCCTGCCTGGCAGAGTGGATTGAGGGTTGAGGAGGGGGTGGGAGTGGGGGTGGGAGGGGTGGAAGCCTGAACATTTTCCGAGATAAACTCTCCCTCTCCCTCCCTTCCCCCCCACCTCGCGCCCCCAATAAAATGGAGGACTATTCTTGTCGGGTGTGGTTTCCTGACTGTCCAGCGCCTTGGGACGTCCTCCTGACGTGAAGGGTGCGGCGTAAATGTCATTTGTTGTTGTTGTTGTTGTTGTTGGAGACTTTATTCACGCGTTCGGTTTGCGAAGGGCAAGAAATTACTTGCGAGCCAAGGTTTAGGGCTGAGTTTTATTTGGGGGCTGAACACAGCAAGTTCCCGGGGGCTGTTGTGCCCGTTCGTAGTTTGTGTTTGATCCGTTTAATCGATTTTAAGGAGAAAACGTTGGAAACGTAGAAGCAGGCGGAGGCCATTCAGCCCCTCGAGCCTGTTCCACCATTCTGTAAGATCATGGCTGATTTGTACCTCAACTCCAATTACCTGCTTTTGCTCCGTATCCCTCAATACCCCGATCCGATGAACATCTATCCATGACGTTGATGCGGAGTCTCTGTGGCTCAGTGGTTAGAGCCCTCTCCTTGGAAGCGAGAGACCCCGGGTTCGATTCCCGGGCGGGTCAGGTCAGGGAGAAATGTTGGGCAAGTTTCCTTACTCCACACACACACACACACTCTGTTTACCAGCAGTCAGTAGGAACCCGTGTGTTAGTCGATTGGCGGGTCACTTTTCTGGCGGTAATAATTCCTTCAAAAAAAATAATAATAATAATAATAATTCGGTCACTCGATCCACGGCTGTTTGTGGGGGACGTCGCTGGGCGCAATTGGCAGCCGCGTTTTCGCCCACAAAGTATACAGTCACTACGCTTTACAGTGTGACCTGTGAAGCGCTTTGAGACGTCCGGAAGACGTGATGAGGCGCTGTGTTAAATGCCAGGATTATTATCATTACAGTATAAGAATAATAATAATAATAATCCTTGCATTTGATATAGCACTTTTCACGTCTTCTCGACGTCCCAAAGCGCTTCACAGAACACACTGTAAAGTGAATTGACTGTAAATTTGTGGGCGAATGCGGCAGCCAATTGCGCACAGCAATGTCCCACAGACAGTCGTGGATTGAAAATGACCAATTTATTATTGTTTTTGGTTTTGGAGGATTATTATCGTGTAGTATCGTGTAAATCAGGGCAGTCACTGAAACCGAGAAGCTTGCCATTGATATCGCTGTCTGTGTAAGGCGGAATTCGGAGATGGCCAGGAACACACATGGTCTCTTTCTTTCTCCGTAGACACCGATGGTTTGGCAAACCGGTCACCAAGGTGCGGAGATCGGTGCGTGAGCGGCAGGGGGAGAGAGAGAGAGAGAGAGAGAGAGAAAGAGAGAGAGAGAGAGAGAGGCTGCAATACAATGTGAATACGGAAATTGTGTGTCGATCTATATAAAATTGATTTTTATATTAATATGTATATGTGGAGATTTATTTTTCCTTTGCCGGTCGAGCGATGAAGACTTTTTAACCATTTTGGAGCCACAAAGAGCCGTGGGTTATCAGACAGTTTTTTTTTATTGATCTCGTGTGTGTGTGTATATATATATATATCTATAAATAATGTTTAAACCAAATTGTTGGGCATTACTGACGAAAACCCTTGAGCCACTAACGACGGCTTGTGTGCGCCCGCGTGTGAGTGTACGTGTGCGTGATGTCTTTTCAGTACGGTCAACCGAGGCGTCCGAAGGCCTTTGCCTGGGCGGGGCGGTGGGCTTTGCGCTTTCCAGCCTGTGTTGGGCCGTTTGAAGCTCGTAATAAATGCAGAGATAAAATGAAACGCGGTTGTTTTCCCACAAAACAACAGCGAATGTTTCGTTACCTCGAAGTCCACAAGTCCCCCAGGACTCCAGGGGCACCGTGTTGGTTGGGAGATATTTATAAAACAAGGCGTGGTTCTTTTTTTTTAGGGGGGGGGGGGTCTCAAAAGAAACAAACCAATAGATTTAACGTGATTTGAACCGAATTGCCTTCACCTGGTCTGTTAATATAAATTGCTAATTAGGTGCCAAGCTCGAGACCGTCATCGCACTGGTTCTGCACTCTCAGCACTGTTGGAGCCGCCGTCCTTCGGGATGAGATGTCAACCGGAGCTCTCGGTCTACCTGTTCGGCCTCTGTTCACCAGCAGTGAGTAGGAACCCGGGTTGTTAGTCGATTGGCGGATCGCTTTCTGGGGGTAATAACAAAAAAAAAAATTGGGTCACTCAATCCATGATTATTGTTAGTTGCTTTCAACCACTGCGCCCCGAAACTCTGGAACTCTCTCCCTCAATCCCTCCGCCTTTCCCCCTTCCCTCCCCACTTTCCCACTCCCACCTAAAGACCTTTTTTTTTGATCGTGCTAACGGCAGGAACTATTAAACCTGTCACGATTGCACACAGGCGAGGGAGGGTAAATATTTGCCGAGCGCAAACAGCTTTAACAAGCAACCTTTCCTGTCTCTCGCCAAGGTCATCACAGCGATCTGCTCCGACATCGCTCAGGCAACCGGCGGGCTTATAAATAGGACCGTAGGAACGGGAGGAGGCCATTCAGCCCCTCGAGCCTGTGTGTGCTTTGACGAGGAGTGAGTGCATGTGAAACCTGAGCCCAGGCTATAACCGTTTCCCACACGGGCAAAGCAGCTAATTCGGGGTTTGGCTCTGAGTGGGAGCGAGACAGAGAATGCTGAGAGGAGAGGCAGCTGAGCCTGTCCATCACTACTATTTATTCCCCCGCGCCCCCCCCCCCCACCCCACTTTGCCTCGCCCAATAACTTGTGTCCACAAATAGCATTTTGAAGCATTCCTTCAAAACCGTGACGTCTTGGCATTTTTGCTGTTTTATTTACAGTGCAGAAGGAGGCCATTCGGCCCATCGTGCCTGTGCCTGTTCTTTGAAAGGGCTATAATATATAGAAATATAGGAACGGGAGGAGGCCATTCAGCCCCTCGAGCCCGTTCCGACCATTCTGTCAGACCATGGCTGATCTGTACCTCACCTCCAATTACCCTCTGGGCAATGTGAATGGATCCAGCCATGTTCCACAGCCTTTTGGGGGGGAGAGAAGAGAGAGAGAGAGAGAGAGAGAGAGCGCGAGAGAGAGAGTTCCAGATTTCCACTGGCCTTTGGGTGAAAATGTATTAGACGTTGTAATGGGTGTCACGACTCTCTTTGCTCACCGTGTTACTTTGACCGTGTGGCGACTGGTGATAAGTAGCTCCCCGTGGCTGCTTCCGCGGCCAACACCATTCATTCCCATGACGTCAGGAGGCTTGAGCTGCTGATGGCTTCACTGCCCACACCAGCCCAAACCGTCAGAGCCACCTGTTGATCGTGTCACAGTGCTGCTCGCGGGGCTAAAGAGCTATTCCTGGCAGGTTCTGACGCGATAGGACGGGACGGGAAGGGATCAGGAGCCTCAACTTCCAAATTAAGTCATTGACGTCCTGTCCCATCACCGTCCGTCCCAGTTCTCTCATCTCAAACAGGTGGAGACAGTGAGTCAGACGCACATCAACTGCATCACACTCAACTTCACAAATAGTTTGTGGAGATTTTTGTGTCCAGTCACTGGGGGCAGAGAATCCTTCCCCTCAGCTCCTGTCAACCCCGCAGCCAAAGCCCTAACTAACTAAGTAACTAACTAACTAACGGGGAGGGTGGTCCTGGCTGGACAAGCAGCGGGAAAGCTCGGCCAGACAGTGCTCTCGCTCTCTCACACTCTCTCAATGGCCGAGCTCTGTGTGGGTTTAGTTGGTTAGACTCCAGCAGTTACCCCCAACGCACACTCTGGGCTCTCCATCCCCTCCGCCCTCCACCAAGCCTTGACTCTGGCCAACCTGCGCCTAATACTCTCTGGAATTAGGTAAGCAGCGGGCGTCCCTCCAGAGAGAGAGAGAGAGAGAGAGAGCGCATCCCATCCCAACAATCTATCTCCGGGGTTTCCATGTGTGTGTGTGTGTGTGTGTGTGTGGAAGGCAGTGAATTCTCAGTTGGGTTTGGAGATCCTTAAGCAACGGTGACGGGTTTCTGTGTGTGTCAGACCCCCCCCCCCCCACCCCACCCCCCTCCCCCCCCACCCCCCCCCCACCCACACGGCTGAGCCCCAGGAGGAAAAAAACTCGTACTTGGTGCGAGAGTGTATTTAGTTGCCGAGACATGGAAGGCGCTGTGTAAATAAATCCAATTTGTTGTCGTTGTCGTTGTTGTTGTTGTGATTCCCTCCCGTGGCTGCTCACTGTTAATCCACTGCTGCCCTCTGGTGTTTGCAATCTGCAACACCACCAAACTGCAGTAACCCCATCACCCCCACCCTCGCTCGACTCCATTGGCTTCCCATCCCCGACCTACTAACCCCCTACCATCCTGCTCGCTCCCCCCGCTCAGCGGGCTCCGACTTACTTCGCGCGCCCCCCCACCCCCCCGCCGCCGCCGCCTCGCTCGCCCCATCATTGGCGGGCGGGCCTTCAGCCACTCTGCCCCCCAACCTCTGGAACTCCATCCCACAGTCCCTCCGCCTCGCCCCCCCCCCCCACCCCTCCCTTCCCTCGCCTCCTTCAAGACCCATCTCAAGACCCTCCTCTTCGACTGTGCTCGAAGACGTGATAAGGTGCGCTATCAAATGGGAGGGTTATTAGTAGTCATTCGGATAATTCGGTCACTAATTTTTTTTCAAACAAATGACAAAAAAATAAGACGTTAAAGGTTTGGGAGTTTTAATTGGTTTTATGTACAGAGTCAGGACAGAAACCAAACTGTGCTGAACCCATACATTCAGATGCACGCACACGCACACGCACACACACACACAACACATGTACACTCACAACACATACACACACCTACACACACCACATACACACACCATATACACACATCATATATACACACCACATACACACACGCATGCATGCACACACACACCATATACACACCCCATGTACACACCATATACACACACACATACATACATGCAGGCACACGTACACACACAAACACATACACACACCATACACACACATGCATGCACACACCACATACACACACATATCAATCAGATATCTCAATATACATAACATTAAACCATGGACATTCCACCGCAGGTTCACCACTAACCACTATACAGGGTCACAGCTTGGGGTAGAGGGGGGGGGGGGGGGGGGGGAGAGATGTGAACCTCATCTTCCCATCATCTGCTCGTCTTCCCAGTCTTCTCCCAGGAATAAGGAGAAGCCTGATCCGATGTCACTTAGAGTAGAGGATTGGAAAGAGGGGGAGAGTTGGGGTGGGGGGAGAGTTGGGGTGGGGGAGAGTTGGGGTGGGGGGAAGAGTTGGGGTGGGGGGAGAGTTCGGGTGGGGGAGAGTTGGGGTGGGGGGAAGAGTTGGGGTGGGGGAGAGTTGGGGGGGTTTCACGAAAGAGGAATGTTGATTGAGGAATATTCAGTGAAGTTGGATTTCGAGGTGCAGGCGTGAACCCCTTAATATCCTTTTCCCGTTGACCCTCAAGTATCCGTGTGACTTGCTCTGCGCGTCCCCCAAGCCTTGGCCCTCGTCAGCGTGTGCCTAAGACTCTCCGGAATTAGGTAAGCAGGGTGATTCCCTCCCTCCCTCCAGAGAGAGAGAGAGAGAGAGAGAGTGGGCTTTCGATTCAGTATCCCGGGAATTTTCACACGTAAGGTGGGACGCGGGGTCCGGATGCTCTTAAGCACAGTGATGGGATTCCATATGTTTGTGATTGAGATAATAAAATGTGTGGTTTAGGCACACAAATGTCCAGCACAGAAGGAGGCCATTCGGCCCAGCGTGTATACATCATCGCTGCCTATTTTCCTCCGTTGCTTTTCTTTATTGGGACGAGTCCCACTTTCTATCCATCTCCTCCACACCTTTTAACATCTAAAAATCATGTCAGGACATCAATGGAAAGCACATCGCATCCACACCGTATTTAATCCAAAGGTTTTTTCTTTAGCAGCTGTAGTTGGATAAGGGGAGCGAGAGGGAGGGAGGGAGGGGGGAAGAGAGGGGTGGGGAGGAGAGAGAGAGAGAGTGGGGGAGGGAGGGAGGTAGGTTGAGAGAGGGAAGGGGCAATCATCTTATTCTTGATCTTGAACCTCAGCTCTCGCCAATCTGTGCCTAATACTCTCCGGAATTAAGTAAGCGGGGGGGTGTCCCTCCAGGGAGAGAGAGAGAGGGAGAGAGAGAGCGCGAGAGAGAGAGAGAGAGAGAGAGAGAGAGAGAGCGCATTCCATCCCAACAATCTCTCTCTGGGATTCCAAGGTGTAGACGGGAGGCCTGGAATTCTCAGTTGGGTTTGGAGACTCTTAAGCAACGGTGATGGGTGACTCACACGCACACACTCACACGCACACACTCACACTCGCACACACTCACACTCGCACACGCACACACACACACTATTATTCAAGACGTGCAAATCTCCATTTGGTCCCCATTCCAATCCCCCACAATCGGAGCAGAATCTCCCACCCTCTCTAACTTGTGTTTCATTTCAAATCACGATCGGAATTTGTCCCTCCCCCCACACACCCCCCACTCCTTGGTACTCGGAGATGATATGTCGGAAAACACAGGAGCAGGAGGAGGCCATTCAGCCCCTCGAGCCTGTTCCAATCTTGCTGCTAGATCACGGCTGATCTGTACCTCAACTCCAATTACCCGCCTTTGCCCCGTGTCCCTCTATCCCCTGACCTGACCAAACATCTCCCCACCTCAGTCTCGATGAGGTGACGAGGTGAACGGACTCAGCCATAATCCACAGCCTTTTGGGCGTTAATCGATTAATGAATTAATTAAAGTTAAGATCCCTTCTGACGGCTAAATGTGTGGTTTTAGAGTTTACTTCATTGAAAGCCTTTTTTTTTTACATAAAAAAAATCACTTTGCGTTCATCTGCTTGGCCACTGTGAGTGTTTAAGGTCTTTTATTTTTTTTATTCCTCCCCCACTCTCTCTCTCTCTCTCTCTCTGGCTCCCCCCACCCACCGCCAACCCTCCCCCCTCCCCTCAAGGGCAAAGGTATCTATCTACAAGATCATGTGAAGGAACGGAAGTCAATCTTGTCAAACGTCACTGACGTTAAATAAATATTCGATCCGTAAACCCTGTTCAGACCCTCATCCACTCCTCCCTCGTTCCTCCTCAATATTGGAATGTCCCTCCGTGTTCTTTGGAAGTGAGGGAACACTAAATAGGGATCGACGGCAATAAATGCCAATCGAGGTGTCTCGTGGTAGTGTGGGGGCGGGTGGTGTGGGGTGATACAGGGTAGTGTTGTGGAGGGGGTGAAGATAGACACCGTGTCACTGGTTGGGTCTCTGCTTCCATTGAACAGCTAAACCTCACTCCCCATCTGTGCCCCGTTCAGGTGGACGTTAAAGATCTCCCACAGGAAAGAGAAGAGAGTTTCTCTCTCTCTCTCTCTCTCTTTACTCCCGGCCGATAATCCGCCCACAAAACACACAGTCACTCCACTTTATAGTGTATCGTTTGAAGCACTTCGAGACGTCTCAACGACGTGATAAGGCGCTGTATCAAATGCAAGGATTATTATTATTATTGTTATGTTACTGCCAAGATGGGGGGGAGGGGGGGGGAGAGGGGAGGGAGTGGGAGAAAGTCATTATGGGTGGGTTGCCAGTGAGGGAGGGGATGTTCATGTTGGCAACCCAAAGATTATTATTATTATTATTAGTGAAGAAAGTGTCACAAGAGATGAGGTTCTGAAGAATGTGAGTCGTGTCCTGATAACCGAGACGCTAGTCCGCGTGAGGGGGGGGGGGGGGCGCGCTAGACAGATGCAAGTTGTCGTCGTCGGTGGCTTTGGTGTGGGGGTGGGGGAGGGTTGAGGAGTTTGAGGAATCGAAGAGCCTCGGGACTTGGGGGTCTGTTCTGAAGAACCCAACGAAGTACGATGTCAATGGCGTAAATAACAGCTGGACATAAACTTGACTCTCTCCCCCCCTCTCTCTCTCTCTCTCTCTCTCTCTCGGTCGTCCGTGTCACTTCTTGGATCCGGATGATTTTGTTGAAGGTCCCACCAACATCGACACCTGGTTCTTGTGCGTTATCTTGATCTGAGGGGGTGGGGGTGGGGGGGGTGTTTCACAAAAAGCACAAGCTTTTTTTAAAAGAAAGGTTACAAGCCACAGCGTCACCCTCCGCCGACCCGATTCCCTTGTCCTCTCGCTCCAGTTCCATCCCGTTGGAACATTAAAAGGAAAAAAAAAAACCAAAGGCCCATCTAGTTGGCCTTCCGCCTTCCTGTCAGCCGCTTGCGCACGTGTCCCGAACTCCCTGCGCTCTACAATCCCATCGCGTTATTTCCGAGAAGAAAGCTATCTGACCTGCGTTTGAAGGAATCAACATTTCCTGCTTTCCACCGTGTCCCCAGGGAGCGAGTCTGTTCCACAGGAGATCACTGCCCTCTCTCACTGAAGTAGTGTTGTTCTGAATTCCCCCCCCACCCCCCCCCCCACCACCACCCCCCACCCCTTCAATGGCAGGCCGTGCGTCCTCTGGTTTTACTCCTCTGGACTAGTTGAAACTCGACTCGACTTCCCCCGACTGTTCGTGACCTGATTAAGTTTAATGATTACTCACGGAAGTGCTCAGCGGACGTTACTTACAGTGCAAGGAGGTTGAACCCAGGGCTCCCCATCGATCTGCATTGGCAAAGATTGTTTTGTCCTGGGGAGCGTCAAATAATATTATTAATAACAACACCGATAACAGTAAGAGGAAGAATCCTTAAATTTGGTCCCGGTGCCTTTCATGTCGGGAGGTTATCGGAGGGCAACTCACAGAAATAATAGCAATAATAGTCCTCGCATTTGACACAGCGCCTTATCATGTCGTCGAGACGTCTCAAAGCGCTTCGCGGGACACACTGTAAAGTGCAGTGACTGTGCGTTTTGCGAGCGAAATGCGGCAGCCGATTGCGCCCGGCGACGTCCCCACAAGCAGCCGAGCGACCAAATGATTATTATTATTTTTCTTTTGAAGGGATTATTATCCCCGGACAGCGATGCGCAAATCGACTAACAACCTGCTTAGGTAAACAGAGGCGAGTGTGAGTGTGTGCGCGTGTGCGTGTGGGGGAGTAAGGAAATTTGCCTAAGGTTTCCCCCTGACCTGTCCCACCTGGGAATCGAACCCGGGTCCTCTCGCTTGCGAGGCGAGGGCTCTCACCCCTGAGCTACAGAGGGGACTCCAACCTCCCTGTCCCCGGCCCTCAGCGATGATTACCTTATCGTGATATCGGAGCACTGCGCCAGTCGATTGCCGGCGCTCTTTAGTCCCGTATAAATCTGTCCCATTTCAATCACTCCCTCGAGTCCCACGACCTCCAGCAGTTTATCGCTCAAATCTGCGAAGCAAAAGCGCCTTTGGTTACAGCTTTTTCCTTTCATGACCTTCGGAATTCTCTTCCCTCAATCCCTCCGCCTCACCCCCCCCGCCCCCCCCCACCCCTCCTTCACCACCTTCCTCTTCGACCCTGGCTTGGCGTCAGTCTCTGCCACTGTTAAGTGCTCGGGAACGCTTACCCCCCCCCCCCCCCGCCGTGTGCGAGAGGCGCTGTGTAAATGCAAGTTGTTGTTGTTGTTGTTGGGACCACTTCCAGGAAAGCAATCCGCCAATCGACTAACACCCGGGTTCCTACTCACTGCCGCGCACGTAGGAACTGCTCCCCCACTGGCTCTGAGACCTCCTAACACCACCCGCTCCCCGCCACCAACCTGCCCGTTCCTTCCAGTCCGGCCTGCGTCACGTCCCCCACCCACCCCACCATCGGCGGGAGGACCTTCTGCCACTCTGCCACCACTCTCTGGAATGCCATCCCAGTCCCTGCACCTCGCTCGCTCGCTCGCTAACCGCTCGGCCACGGCGCAAAGGTTACCTTGGACGCAGGACTTGAGGGTAACGGGGTCAGTGATGGCTGCGTAGGTTTTGTTTTTCAGCTCTCCCGACATCTTCTTGTTCTCCCCCCACAGGTTCGAGCCCCCGTGCATACTGGGGATGTTCAGCACAGCGACGCCCTCCAGGGAGAAGCTGCTGAGGTCCACCCGGGTCCCACTGCACTGCGACGAGAAAGGTAACAATACAGTACAACAGCAGAAAGCACCACTTCCACAACGGGAGGAATTTTCGGGGCCTCCCCCCTCCCCTCACCCCACTCTCTCCTCAACACTCCCACCCCTCAACCCCCCACCCACTCCGTCCTCTGTGCCGGGCAGGGAAGCACTTTCCTTTGCAATAGACTAATTGGGAAACTGTTAGAAGTTCCTCAGCCACTTGAGGTCGCAAGGCTCGTACTCCCCTCAAGGCTCCTCCAACCCCTTTGTTGGGGTCAGATCTCCACCAGGAGATCAGGAGGGGGTAGTGGGGGTGGGGGTTGAAGGGAGGGGTTGGAGGGTGACCGAAGGGTCTTGAGACGGGCTTTGAAGAAGGCGAGGGAGGGGTCGAGGCGAAGGGACTGAGGGATGGAGTTCCAAAGATTGGGGGAACTCTAGAACAAGCTCGAACCTCAACAGCCAAAGGACGTTACCAATTACTGCAATTCACGGGGCGTGGGGGGGAAAGATTTTATAGCGGGGGAGTGAGTGGGACTAACTTGGACAGCTCTTTCCAAGAACCAGGCAAGGACACGATGGGCCAAATGGCCTCCTCCTGCGCTGTAGGATTCTATGATTCTACGAAATGAGACTGAAGAGAGCTCGGGGCATGGACACGGGGGGCCAATTGCCCGGCTATCTTCTGTGGGTGCTCATCATTGTTGGTTGTTGAGGCCACGTGAGGCACCAGAGAGAGGGGGGAAACTCACCTCTATCTCCAGGACGTCCTTGAGGTTCTTGCAGGTGGAGGAAAGAGTTTCTGACGTAGCAAACTCAAAATACCACAGTTTATTCTTCATCCTTTCACAGGGCAAAACAAGAACCTTGGGGTTAGGGACGTAGGCGAACAGGGACAGGAGGCCATTCAGCCCATCAAGCCTGTTCCGCCAGTTTATTGCAACGGGGGGTGTGCGAGGGGGCAAGGCGGAGGGGATAGAGGGAGTGCGTTCCTTAGTTTTGGGGCACAGTGATAGAAAGCGCGGCCACCGAGGGCGGAACGGACGGCACGAGGGACAAGCAGGAGGCAGCGGGTAGTGGGTTGGTGGGGCGGGGAGAAGGCAGGTGGGGGGGAGGGAGGGAGGGAGGTATCAGGGTGCGGAGGGATTTGTAGACGGGTTTGAGAGGCTCTCGCCACGGATCGGTCCTGTGATCGGAGAGGGAAGGAGGACTGACCTGGTGTTGAATTTTTCCGGGTGCTTCTCCCTCATCGTGTGGAATCGGTGCGCGATTGAAGCGTCCTAATCAGGACGGAGAGAGAGAGAGAGAGAGAGAGACGTCATCACTGAACAATTACGTAGAACACTGCAGCTTAGTCGTAGATAAATAATAATAATAATAGTCTAAGACGACGCTCCAATGCAGTGCTGATGGGGGCGTTGCATTGTCAGAGATGCCGTCCTTTGGATGAAACATTAAACTCTCTCTGTCTCTCTCCCCCACCGCCCCCCACCCCACCCCCCGGTGTCCTGGCCGACAATCCCCCCGGACCCCCACCCACGCCCCCCACCCCAGATAAAATTAGTCACTCGTTTCACGTCTGTGTGTGGGGAACGTCGCCGGGCGCAATTGGCTGCTGGGTTTCTCCCGCAAGAGACCCGGTCCACTCCACTTTACGGCGTGTCCTGTGAAGCGCTTTGAGACGTCTCAACAAGGAGATAAGGCGCTGGGTCAAAGATTGGTATTATTATTATTATTATTAAGTGCAATGAATCCACTAACATGGAAATGAATGTGTATTAGCCAAAAACCGTGACGTAACCTAACGAGCCGCGGTCCGGTCAGTGTTCTCTCTGCGCTTACCACCCCGATGGAGAAATAGTTGTTGATGATGCTGTAAGGCACAGGGTCCCCTTTCTCCTCTGTGCTGGGGGTCACCTCAAAACTCCACCGATCCAACATGACTGCAGTACTGACCTCGATATCCTTCAGGATTTTAGTCAGTTTCTCCCCCTCGTAGCCTGCCGTTCAATAAGGTGAGGGGTGAAAGAAACGGTGCCAGCGTTAGAATAATAACAAGAATTAACTGACTGACTGACTGATTGATTGATTGCTGTGCGCGATTGGCTGCCGTGTTTCGCCCGCCAAAAATACACAGTCACTCCACTTGTCAGTGTGTCCCGTGAAGCGCTTTGAGACGTCTGGAAGACGTGATAAGGCGCCGGGCCGCACGCCGGGATTATTATTATTATTATTATAGCAATTTTGGCATTTGATACTGCGCGAATACACAAATTTGCATCTACGCAGCGCCTCTCACATCAGGAGGTCGACGCAGACCACGAGAGGCTGTTTTACTATTTGTCCACTGGACACGGCCTGGGGGAAACCCCAAACAAATCTGGGGTAAAAGGGTCTTTAACAGGGATCTTTAATGCCCCCCCCCCCCCACCCCCTCTCCCCCGGCTGCAGGTCGGCCCTTACCTCCTCCCCATCGGAGGCAACGCGCCATGTCATTCCCGGTTCCCAGCGGTAAAACCGCCACCGACGGCTTAGCAGCAAAGTTCATTTTATCTGAAAGCCAAAAGGAGGAAGATTTTGTTAAACGGGGAGTCCTGGAGCGCAGAGGTTAGAGCGCTCTTTTTTGGGGGGGGTGGGGGGGGGGGGGGGGACACGCCACTGGGCGCGATGGGCTGCCGCGTTTCTCCCGCGAACCACACACACTTTATATTCTGTGTTATACTCAGTGCTTTCCCTCAATGCACAAATAAGCGGTTCCTACTGACTGCTGATAAACAGACGCACGTGTGGCTGTCTGTGTGTGTGTGTGTGTGTGTCTGTGTGTGTGTGTGTGTGTGTGTGTGTGTCTGTGTGTGTGGGGGGGGGGGGGGGGGGAGTAAGGACACTCAATCGGGGCTGAGTTTGCGGTATTTCTAAAGTAAGAAACGCGAGTGGTCGGCTGAACCATTTAGGGATTTGCTGACTCCCAACTCCCTCCCGCTCTCCCTCAATCCCTCCGCCTTACCCCCCTCTCCCCCTTTTCTCAAGTCCCGCCTGAAAACCTTACTCTTCGACCGTGCTTACGGTCACCTGCCCCCAACCCCCCCACCACCCCACTCCCCCCCGGCTCGGAGTCAGGCTCCGCCACCGCTAAGCGCTCCGAAATGCCTTACCCATTGAGTCCAGGATCCATCCCACTGTGCCATCCCCCCCGCAGACCAGGATCCGGAAGTCCGTCAGTCCGTGAAAGAATTTCAGGCTGTGGGAGGGAGGGAGAGCGCGGGAGGGAATGTCAGCGAAACCTCAGAGTAAACCCCGCAGAAAGGTTAACTCATCAATCACTCGTCACATCATCGATCTACCCCCCCATTCCACGTCACCTCCCTGGAACTCCATCCCACATTCCCTCCGCCTCGCTCCCTCCCTCGCCTCCTTCAAGGCACGCCTCAAGACCCTCCTCGACCGTGCCTTCAGCCACCCTCCTACCCCCACCCAACACCCTCCCTGATCCCAATCCCCCAACTTTCCCGCTCGGGTCCTAATCCCTGACTGTCCAGCGCCTCGGGATGTCCTCCCGACGTAAAAGGCGCTTTACCAATGCAATTTGGGACTGTATTGTATCTCTGTTGACGGTTGGTTGGTGGTTGGGCCTTACCCTGGTTTGGGTCCACCTTTGGAAAGGTTGTAGACCTGTCTTGGGTTCAGAAGATACTGGAATTTCCTTAAAACCCTGTGGGAAAAAAAAGAGATCCACAGACTGTCAGAGCAGATATGGGAACAGTTAAAATCCGTCCTCATTCCTGCCCGACAGCCCCCTCCGGATACGAAAAACATTGGCCAGTCACTTCAGCGGCTGTTTGTGGGGCTTTCCTGTGCTTGTTTACCGCAAAATACACAGTCACTACACTTATTCTCAATGATGATAGTAATCCAGGCATTTGATACTGCACTTCATCATGCCATAGATGGCTAATATAAAATCAGTCGCTCACTCCACGACTGTTTGTGGGACACTGCTGTGCGCAATTTGCTGCCGCCTTGCGCCCACAAAATACACACAGTCACTACACTTGATAGCACATCCTGCGAAGCGCTTTGAGACGTCTTAACGACGTGTTAAGGCGCTGGGTCAAATGGGTGGATTATTGTTATTATTATAAATGTAAATCGTATTGTGTTTTAACTGTATATATACGCCAGAAATTCACCGAGCGAGGACAGTGAGGGGTGGGGGCGCGGGGGGGGGGGGGATTCTTACCTCTCTCCCTGCTTCCCCCCACTTTTGGGGTTCACAAACACCAGAAGTGGGTGCGTTTGGGGCACCGGGGTAATCTGCGAAGGAGGGGAGAGTGAGCAAGATTAGGACGGGGTGGGGGGGAAAGGTAGAAGGTGGTGGGGCGGGGAAGGGAAAAATATTACCCAATATCACCCAATAGCATTACCCCCCCACCCCCCACTCTCCCACCTTCCTCTTTGTGGAGGGATTGTACACTGTACAAGCAAAGGAACGTAGGACCAGGAGGAGGCCATTCAGCCCCCCGAGCCTGTTCCGCCATTCTATTAGACCATGGCTGATCTGTACCTCAACTCCAACTACCCGCTTGGCCCCCGTGTCCCCTCGATCCCCTGATCTGACCGCCTCAGTCTGGACAATGTGAATGGATCCGGACATAATCCACAGCGTTTTGGGAGAGAGAGAGAGAGACAGAGAGAGAGAGAGGAAGGTCTAGACTTCCGCTCCCTTTGGGGTGACAAACTGCCTCCTGATTTCACTCCGAAATGGCGTGGCTCTAACTTTAAGACGAAGCCCTCCCCCCACCCTCTTCCGAGCCTTGTGCGGGACTTCACCCCCTCCCTCCCGCCAGAGGAAATGGCTTCTCCGTCGTTACCCTATCGAATCCCTGTAATATTGTAAACCCTTGTGCTGCGCTCGGGTTTAACGGCAGACGCACGGCCCCAGGTCATTGCCCCCTTTTAAACCCCTCAATCGCTCTCTCTCTCAGGAACGCTCCAACCTGTCGGTAAATATTTGGTGCTTAACCCAAGTGGAGATTTCGGTCGCTGTAAATCACCTGAAGGATTTGCCCGTCTACTGTAGTGACTGGTTGTTCGGTGTCTGGTGACATCGAACCTTCCTCTTCCTTCTTCCTCTGACTGTTCTGCCTGTCCTTCAAAAGGATAAAAGGACACGACAATGATAATGACAATGATAATAATAATAATAATAATCCTTGCATTTGACCCAACGCCTCATCGCGTCGTCTCAAAGCGCTTCACAGAATAGACTGTAAAGTGGAGTGACTGTGTATTTTGTGGGCGAAATGAAGCAGCCAATTGCCTTGGTCTGTGTGACGGGCGCTACACAAAATGTTGTTGGGTTCAATTCCCGGCAAGTTTCCTTACTCCCCCCCCCCCCCACACACACACGCGCCTCTGTTTACCCAGCAGTAAGTAGGTTGTTAGTCGATCACTTTTCCGCTGGTGATGATCTCCCCCCAATTTGCTCCCTCAATCCCTCAATTGGCCGTTGTGTTTCGCCCACAAAATACACAGTCACTCGTCTTGAGACGTCTCGACGACGTGATAAGGCTCTGGGTCAGACACAGGGATTATTATTGCATTATTATAGAGTCGGTTATAATGTTGAAGAAGGTTGAATAGTTACCAGAACTCCGGGGTAGATAGCAGAGGGAGGGAGCACGTGATCCTTCAATGTCCCGCAATCGCACGACTCCTTCACCTTGGACACACACTCGTTGTGTAGCTATTAATGACAGAGAGTTTATCACAGGATCAATCAATCAGTCAATCAATCAGTCAATTAATCAGTCAATCAATCAGTCAATCAATCAGTCAATCAATCAGTCAATCGGTCAATCAATGGCAACCGACCATCGCCACAGACCCCATTACCCACCCACACACATTCTCAAGGCCGAGGTGGCAGATGTTTGTCAGGTCGGGGTATCAAGGAATAAGGGGCAAATTGGACTTGAAGTACAGATCAGCCATGGTCTGATATAGGGGATCGTGGAGGGTGGGGAGCGAGAGTGGGAGGGGGGTTTAGGAGGGGTTTGAGACACGCCTTGAAGGAGGCAAAGGGAGGGGGGGACGCGGGCGAGGTGGAGGGACTGCGGGAAGGAGTTCCATAGGACGGGGTGCAGAGAGGCTGAAGGCCCGGCCACCGATGGTGGAGCCACAAGAGAACGGCAGAACAGGCTCGAGGGTCTGAATGGCCTCCTCCTGTTCCTATTCCTACGTTCCTGTGAGAATGGGAATTTCCATGTGTAGACGGTGCAAGTGGAACTCAGTTTGGTTTGGTCTCTCGTAAAGCACAGCGATGGGTTTCCCCCCCACCCTCCCTCCCTCCCCCCATCTCCCCCCCCCAACCCAAATAAAAAAATCAACAGGACAAAATACTCACGGTAATGTGACACCAGACACAGTGGACCCCCGTCAGACGGTGGAAGCTTATGATCGATTTCTGGCAGAATTCGCAGGTCATGTGGCAGTTCCCGTCCACCCACATGTGCTTCATGACCTAGAGCCACCGAGGGGTTAACAACGGTTACGATTCTCCCGGGAGAGGAAAAAAACCACGCAGACCCTACTTAAGTTCCTGAGGGACGGCAGAAGTCCGGACACGCCTTACGTTTCTGACTGAATCCCTTTTCAAGGATCGTCTGCAAAGCCCTGGGACCTCCCTCGCTCTCCTCCAAACTGCTTACCTCTCCCCCCACACAACCCACTGCCTCCGCTCGACTGGCTCCACCCGGCCGCCTGCTCGTCCCTCACAACCCTCCACTCCACCATCAGTCGCCACGCCCCCCCCCCCCCCCAAACTCTTGTCGCTCTCTCCCTCAATCCCACCGCCTCGCCTCCTCTCTCCTTTCCCATCTTCAGGTCGCATCTGAAGAGCTTCCTCTGTGACCAGTGCTCCCTTCTTCCTCCACCACCCCCACCCAGGCTCGGCATCACACTCCGCCACTGTCAAGACCCCCCACCCAGGACCCTGTAAGTTGTTGTAGTAGTTCCAGTGACACAACGAGTTGCGGGTACGAGCGGTAGACGACATTAACGGAGGGAACTGCAATGGGAACAGCGAGAGAGAGAGAGAGAGAGAGAGAGAGAGAGATGCCTTACGCTCGTGTCCTTTTTAGATTTGGCGTAAGTTTTGATACAGGACAAAGGGGCTTTCGACGCACAGCGCTCGTGGGCTGTGTATTTACACACTGCAATAAAGAGGAACATGATGTTATTGACCATACTCCCTCCCTCGCCTCTCCCCTCCCCTCTCCTCTCCTCTCCTCTCCTCGGGTAAGGAAACTTGCCTTGACCTGACCCGACCCGCCCGGGAATCGAACCCAGTTCCTCTCGCTTGCGGGGTGAAGGCTCTAACCACCATAGGCTACAGGACACCACATGATTACCGCCATGTCTTGATTTCAGCTCAGAAGATGTCCACAGCGAACAGGCTTTGTGGTGCACTGTCCGGCCGGGACAAGAATCAATCGAGCTCTGCACTCCCCTCCCTGGTGTCCTGCCCGTCAGAGATGTCCACTAGGGGGGAACCTCAGATTGATCTGCAATTTCAACTCCTGTGAGTACTTGAGTCTCCAATGTTGGCCAACCTGTGGCCCGCGGGCCGGATTCGGCCCCCCGAACAGTCGCACGAGTCTCGGCGATTCTGTATTCGATCGGTCCGGCGGTGGCAAACAAATCTAATACACATCTGATGACCTCAAATAATAAGTGCGCATTCAGAGGACTTACATGTACAGCATAATCCCTGCTTTCTGATTCCCAGCAACATATTTTGGCACAAGTTACAATACACCGGCCGATTGAAGTGTTTCAGTTGCCAAATATGTTGGCCATCGTCCTTCAAGCTCTGTGTAGAGAGAAAGAGAGAGAAGCAGATCGTGTGGCACAGGGAGAGGCACAATTGTCAACAGACGTTTTTGCCAACAGACACCGCACGGTCACTACACGTTAGGGTATTTCAAGCGCTTTGAGACGGGTTTCTAGGACGGGAACTCACGTGGGGTATTATTGATGATAATAATAATCCTTGCATTTGACATAGCGCCTCGTCACGTCGGCAAGACGTCTCAAAGCTCTTCACAGTGAGAGCCAGTGAGGGGGAAATCGTAATAGGGTGGATATTTGGGTTCATGGGAAGGGATCACAGATGTTCTGGGACTTTGGGACGCTTTGGGATGTCCTCCCGACGTGACAGGCGCTCTATAAATGTAATTTTCTTGCTGTGGTCGTTTCGTTGTTCTGTGCCGCAGAGTCTGTTGAATCTGTGAGATTGAGATAGCAATCTGTTCATCTCTCGTGAGTTGGTTTAAATTGTTGGTTTAAGCGCTTTCGGAAGCCTCGTGGCTTTTTTTAAAATTAGGTTTTGTGACTCAACGAGGTTTTATGGTCCTGTCTTTTAGGCTGAAGGTCAATGTACGGAGAACTAATTGGGGTAAAAAAAGTCACACGGGAAAAATTTGGGGTATAAAGGAGAGGGACCGGAGTTACAGGACAGTTGTTGAGTTTTGGAGATTTAATTGATTTTAATATCATTAATTATAAAAGCCCTGAACCTCAGGAACTTAGAAGAGTTGTGAATTTGGGGTAAGTTTTCTGTATCTGTGATGATTTAGTACTGTTATCGATGAGCTATCGGTTGGCCGGTGTTTCTGGCCGTGCAAGAGGTTTGGTTACTTACGGCCTCGAGCCCTAGAAGCACAAGTAGGGGCACTGTGGTCATCCCGCCCTTGATCCACTCGTCCAAAGACACGGTTCCATTCCCATCGTAATCGATTTCGCTCATCATCTCCTTCAGAATCTAAACACGCCCCGCCCCCCAAATAATTATATTAATAATAATAATAATTCTTGCTTCTGACATAGCCACCCCGAAATTAAATTCCCCCAAATTTCTTGCCCTCAAGGCAAGACATGTTTTGGGGGGGGAACAGAAGAGAAGAGAGGGGAAGGGAGTTTAGGGGAAGAGGGTGAGGAGAGAGCGCGAGAGAGAAACCTGCTCAGCGTCAGAGAATAACAATAACAGTGTAGTGACTGCTTGTTTTGTGGGCGAAAGTAAAGGACTCCCCGCCAGGCCCCACTGGCTCCCAGATACCGAACGGATCGACTTCAAGATCTTCTGATCCCTTCATGCCCTCGCACCTCCCGACCTCTCCCATCTGCTGACCCCCTACTCCCGCCACCCACTGGCTCCGCTCGGCCTGCTCCGGCCTCCTGCTCGTCCCTCGCCCCCTCCCCAACGCCATCGGTGGCCGTGCCTTCAGCCACTACGCCCTGAATCTCCGTCACTCTCTCCCCCGGCCTCGCCCCGTGTCCTCCCCAAGTTCGAATCCCACCTGAAGACCTTTTTCGACCGTGCTTGCGGTCACCTCCCCCTCTCCCTTGTCCTCTCGCCCCCCCCCCCCCCCCGGGCTCAGGGACAGACCCCGTCACTGTCAGGCGCTCTGGGACGCTATCCCATGTGAAAGACACGGTGTAAATGCAAGTTGTGGTGGTGGTGGACTCACCGGTTTCAGTTCAGTGACGTCCCAGTTCAGGTATTTGGCCACGTGCATCATCTGGGCAATGATCCGATCGACTTCCTAAGGTCAGGAGGATAATCAGCCGGTCAGTCAGTCCTCCACCGTAAGCTGACACCTACACTGCAGAGAATTCTATATCTCTGCAATTCTACATCCGCACTCGATCGTGTAACTGAGAAACACACACACACACACACACACACTCACAAGCTCACACACGCACTCACACTCACGCACTCACACACACTCACACGCACTCACGCACACACCGGTTTGCACGGAGTTAAAAAGGAATTAGATAGGTTCACGTGGAGAAAATGTATATCCTATTGTTAACATTAATGATGACGATTGTGATAATAATCCTCGCATTTCACACAGCGCCTCATCACGTCGTCGAGACGTCTCAAAGCGCTTCGCGGGATATGCTGTAAAGTGAATTGACTGCGTATTTTGTGGGCGAAACGCGGCAGCCGATCGCGCACAGCAGCGTCCCCACAAACAGCCGTGGATTGAGTGACCGAATTATTATTATTATTATTATCATTTTTTTGAAGGGATTATTACCCCCAGACATCGAACTGCCAATCGACTAATAACCAGATTCCTACTTACCGCTGAGTAAGTGCACAAGACACACACAGTCACTCCACTTTACAGTGTAGCCTGTGAAGCGCTTTGAGACGTGATAAGGCGCTGCATCAAATTATTATTATTATTAATTAATTAGTATTCAGACACGAGCAGAGCCCGACTTACTGAGCTATCCAAAAGGCCGTTGCCATCTGCATCATACAGCTTGAAAGTAACTGTGGAAGAAGCACAAAACAAAGGGAGTTTATCGGACGCACGAGCCCAGGGTGAAGAAGGGTATCATGGAGTCCTGTAGCGTAGTGGTGGTTAGAGCACTCGCCTCGTAAGCGAGAGGATCTGGGTTCGATTCCCTCCTACCCCCCTCCACCCTCTCTGCCCTGCCCTCCACCCCCCCCATCGGACCCCCAGCTCGGGTCCGAATTCCTGACTGTCCAGCGTCTTGAGATGTCCTCCCGACTTGATGGGAGTGGTGTAAATGTCATGCGTTGTTGTTGTTGCGGGGATCTGGACTCACATTTCAGCTTGTCCTCAGGCTCCACTCCCTCCAGGAATGAGAGATAACACACAATGTCCTTCACACATATCACCTGCATCTCGTCCTGGGACTTGGAGCTTTGTCTGTCTGTTGAAACACGCACACCACCAAAAAATAACTTACTCGGTACCAAATGGGTAATAATAATAATAATAATCCTGGCATTTGACCCGGCGCCTTATCGCGTCGTCGAGACGTCTCAAAGCGCTTCACGGGAGATATTGTCAAGTGGAGTGACTGCGTGTTTTGTGGGCGAAACGCGGCAGTCAATTGCGCCCAGCGACATCCCCACAAACAGCCGGGGATTGAGTGACCAAATTATTTATTCGTTCATTATTTTTGAAGGGATTGTTACCGCCAGAAAGCGATCCACCAATTGCCTAACAACCGGGTTCCTACTTACTGCCGGGTAAGCAGAGGCGTGTGTGTGTGTATGTGGGGGGGTGGGGAGTAAGGAAACTTGCCCAAGTTTCGCCCTGACCGACCCGCCCGGGAATCGAACCCGGGTCCTCTCGCTTGCGAGGCGAGGGCTCTAACCCCTGAGCTGCAGGGATGACGTTTGGGTCTAGACTGTTTTGGGGGAACCCAGCGACGTTCTCAAGGCAACTGTCCTGCAGTCAGGACTCACTCGTGTCCTGGGTAGTGGGGGAGACCTCACTCTCGTTGTTGACCTCCTCTCCTCTGTCGCTCAATTTGGTTTGGAAAGAGCGGTAAAGGTGCCGGCAGAAGTCTTCGGGAATTGTGTCGGCCTCCAGGTAAATCCTCATGAATAGCTTGAAGCCTTCGAAGTCTATGCTCTGCGACGGGCAGAGAGACAAAGAGAGGGTCAAGCGAAGTGAGGGCGGTCGGGTTGTTATCAGCTATTACCCTGGAATCATGTCTAGCTAGACCTGCCTGGCTCAGGAACCAGACGTCTGACAGAGAGACGGAGACTGCCACAGAGGGTGGACTCCATTCCGACATTCCATTGCCAAAGGGTCAGAGGCGAAGGGACTGTGGGATGGAGTTCCAAAAGGGTGGGGGCAGAGAGGCTGAAGGCCCGAGCTCTGAGCTGAGGGAGAGGGCAGGTCGGTAAAGTGTTAGTAGGGTCACAGAGGTAGGGAGGAGCGAGGCCGTGGAGGGCTTTGAAGAGACAAAGCTAAACGTTCACGCAGAAAGCGCGCGGAACTCACCTCCTTTGCGCTGTATTTGGAAAGCAAGCCATTGCCTTCAAATTCCGTTAGGACCTCCTTCACTGTCTTGGTGGTGTCTGTCGAGGGAAAACACGCCAATTGAATTCACAGAAGGAGGCCATTCGGCCCATCGTGCCTGTGCGGGCTCTTTGAAAGGAGCCACCAACTAGTCCTACTCACTCCCCCGCTCTTACCCCCCCAAAGCCCTGCACATGGTTCCTTTCCAAGTCCCTCCCTATCCAATTCCCTTTTGAAAGCTCCTGTTGAATCGGCTCCCACCAGCTTTTCAGGCCGTGTGTTTCAGTCCGTAACAACTCTCTGGGTAAAAAGAATACCTCCTGGTCTGGTCCTCTGGTTCCCGACCCACCCGCCCGCCAGAGGAAACAGTTTCTCCCCCTCTCTACTCTACCAAAACCCCTCATCGTTGCGAACGCCTCTATTCAATCTTTGCTTTAACCTTCTCTGCTGCAAGGAGATCAATCCCAGCTCCTCTAGTCTAGTCTCTGCACGTAACTGAAGTCCCTCAACCCTGGTACCATTCTGGTAAATCTCTTTTACACCCTCTCCCGAGACCTTGACATCCTTCCAAAAATTGGCGTAATGCACAGGATTATTATGGTGGTGTAACCTCGGTGTGAGTGTGTGCACTGGTCGATGTATAGGTTGTGATGGGGCGAGAGGGGCGGGAGGCAGGAATTTGTGGGCGAAAGGATTATTCCGGATTAACTCCTCTCACACTCTCACACCGCGGGATGTTTCCATTGGATTCCCTGTCCTCTTGTTGTTGCAGTCACTGTCTGCGTTGAACAAACGGGAGAGACATCGCAATGCCTTTGTGTCCGCCCGCGCCTGTCGCAAAGATTTTATTTCTTTTTTCGCTTTCACGAGCAGCAAAGTCAATCCACGGCTGATTGTGGGGACGCCGTTGGCCGCCGCGTTTCGCCCACAAAATACGCAGTCACTACGCTATACAGTACAGGGTACAGGGCGCACAGCAGTTGTGGACTGAGTGACCACACACAAGCGGAAGGAATCAGTGTCCTCTGGCTCCCCCCCCCCCACCCCAGTCACAAGCCTCCAAGAGAGAAGTAATGATAATAATACTACTACTGATAATAATAATAATTCTTGCATTTGCTGCAGGGCTTTATCACGTCTGTGAGACGTCTCAAAGCCCCGACACCGGACACACTGTAGAGCGCAGTGACCGTGTGTTTTGACGGTGAATCGCGGCAGCGACGCCCCCACAAACAGTGGCGGATTGAAGCGACCAAATTATTATTATTGTCATCATCGTTATCATTATTTATTTTTGTGAAGTACTCACACTCGATGTACTCGTGAAGCTTCACAAACTCATCCGGACTGAGCGTGGCCCACTCTCCTCTGTCCATCCCTCGTACCTCGGGCTCCAGCTCTTAACACCTAAACAACAACAACAACAACAGTACCTTTACACAGCGCAGCGGAGCGTCGCAGAGCACGAGGAGAGGGAGAGGGAGAGGGAGGCGCGACTGGAAGATGGGGGGATGGAAAGTGGGGGGGGGCAGACGGAGGGATCGAGGGAGAGAGTGTCAGAGTTTCAGGGCGTAGGGGCTGATGATAAATTGCAGAGCTCTGGTGACTTGCCTCCCACACACACGCGCACACAATACGATTGTGTCAAGAGACTGAATAGGATTTGATTAAATTCAACGACAGTGTTTACAAGCATCTCATCAGCCACTTCAGCCTTTTATTAACAGGCGCAGAAAACAACCAGACGTTGTACCTCGAGACAGGCAGAGACAACGCCGATAACAATTAGAATAATCTTCTATGTGTGCGTATGTGTGTGTGTGTGTGTGTGTGTGTGTGTGTGGGGAGTAAGGAAACTTGCCCGACATTTCGCCCATGACCTGACCCGCCCGGGAATCGAACCCCGGTCCTCTGGCTTGCGAGGCGAAGGCTCTAACCCCTGAGCCACAGGAGAACTCCGCAATTATCGTCAAGGGCAGTAAAGAGTGGGGGTGGGGGAGGTGCCGAGCCAGGGAACCTGTGTCTAATGGCAACCCATTGCCCTCGGCACGAACACTGAATGAGGACCTGGCAATCTGTCCACCCACAAACCGCCCACACTCGGTGGCTAAGCACAGGCATGACGAATGGTCACTTAAGTCAGGTAGCAGTGAGCGTCAAGCAGCTACGAGAGAGAGAGAGACAATCGCAGCTTCACAGCTATAATAATAATGATAATAAGTCCTGGCGCTTGACCCAGAGCCTTATCACGTCGTCGAGACGTCTCAAAGCGCTTCGCGGGACGCACTGTAAAGTGGACTGTGATTTGCGGGCGAAACGCGGCAGCCAAATTGCTCGCGGCGGAGTCCCCGCACACCGTCGGGGTGTGGGAGGGGGGGATCGAGTGACCAAGTTTTGGGACAGCTGGCTGTCGTTTTGAAGCGAGTAGAGGACCCGGGTTCGATTCCCAGGCGGGACAGGACAGGGCGAAACCTTGAGGCAACTTTCCTTACTCCACACAAACAGACACAGACAGACACACACACATACACAACCACAGACACACACACACACGCGCGCGCGCGCGCCTCTGTTTGCCCAGCAGGAACCCGACTGTGAGTCGATCGGCGGGGGTCGCTTTTCCCGGGAGGTAATAATCCCTCCGCGAATCGTAATCGATTGGACCAGTCAATCAATCACAGCTACATTCCCTGAAGCGCTCTGAGACGTCTCGACGACGTGCTAAGGCGCCGGGCCGAACGCGAGGGTTGCGACTGTTGTTAGCGCGTGGCGTTTTTGACAGCGGTGGACACCTTACCTGTGCGGAGGGCGCGAGGCAAGTGCGAGTTTTTGTCGGGGTGGTCGTGGGCGCTGAGGGGTGATTTGACCGCGAGTCCTGGAAGAGTAAGGCTTCTTCTGCGACGCGGGGCAGCAATTGCAGTGGAAAGCCGGCGAGCAGTGAGTTTACCCTTGATTGCTGCAGTGCAGAACGCAATCCAGTCACGCGCACACACACACACACACACACACACACACACACAGGCTAGTGCGTAACTCTTCACATTGAAACGTTCTCTTGCCCCCCCCCCCCCACACACACCACCACCCCACCCACCCAACACCTCGGGGGCACGAAAGCCGGAAGCGTCGAGTTCAAATCAAAATGCTAACGCTGCAGAAATACAACACGCAATACAGAGAGAAAGAGACAGACAGACAGAGAGAGAGAGAGAGAGAGAGAGAATTGCTGTGACAGCCACTCGCCCCCCAAAAAATCTAAAGGTTGGGTAACTAGTAAGGAGTAGGTGGAAAGAAAAAACAACAGCTAATTTGCAAAAGGTAGGAGGGCGCTAAGGTGAATAAATCGGGTAGACACGATGTGTGTGCAACTGTGACAAGAAATGAAACCAACAGGGGAGTGAGTGAGGCAACCGAAGGCAGGTGGGCGGTCAATCGGGGAAACAGAATGTGTTTGCAAACGATGCAAAGGTTTACGTCTTTCAATCGCTCCCCCACACCGCCCCCGCGCCCCCTTCCCCCCCCCCCAACCACCTCTCCTCCCTCTCCCCTCGGCTCAGGCTCCCCGAAGCACTTTCGGCCACAAAACACACAGTCAGTCACTCCACTTTCCAGTACATCCGCCAAACGCAAGGGTTGTTATCGCAATAGGTACGTGGGAACAGGAGGGGGCCATTCAGCCCCTCGTGACTGTTCTGCCGTTCTACAGCTAATCGGCACTTCAGCTCCAGTCGCAATTAAAAGGCTCTGTCAATTTTGTTTCTGGTCAGCCGTGTGGGTGTCTGACACACGCGGAAACCCACCAGCGTTTGCTTAAGAGTCTCCAAACCCGACTGAGAATTCCCCACATCCCACCTACACGTGGAAATCCCCAGAGAGAGACTGTCGGAATGGAATGCGCTCTCTGTCTCTCTCTCTCTCTCTCTTTCTGGAGGGACGCACCCTGCTTACCTAATTCCGGAGAGTATTAGGCGCTGGTTGGCGAGAGCCCAGGCTTGTGGGGGGGTGGGCGATTGGGGGTGGGGGGGAAGTGCAAATTGGCCGGTTGCCTGGACGTTAGGAAGGAGTACATTGGGGAGGGTGGGCGGGGGAAGGATCGACAAACAACACAGAGACGTGACTGTAATTTCACCCCATCGTAGAATTCCTGTCCGAGAGCCGAGAGGCACTGAGACACGTTCAACACATGTTGAGACTGGTGACCAGGCTGTCAGACCCCAACCAGCCCAGCGGTCCTCAGGTAAACCTCCATTTACTTCCCGCTCCATCGCTCTCCGAGGAGCTGAGAGGGTCCGACGCCAACAATAACAGTCCTGGCATTCGACGCGGCGCCTGATCGCGTCTCCCAGACGTCTCAAAGGGCACTGTAAAGTGCGGTGACTGTGTATTTTGTGGACGAAACGCGGCAGCCGATTGCACCCGGCGACGTCGCCCACAAACAGCCGTGGGTTGAGTGACCCAATTATTATTACTATTATTTTATTTTTGAAGGGATTATTACCCCCGGAAAAGTGATCCATCCGCCAATCGACTAACTGCTCGGTAATAAGGGGCATGTGCGTGTGCGCGTGCGTGTGCGCGAGCGTGTGGAGTTTCGCCCAAGGTTTTGCCCTGCATTTTGCCCACATAAAGCCCACAAAAATCCACTTTACAGCGTATCCCGGGAAGCGCTTTGAGACGTCTCGAAGGCGCGATAAGGCGCCGTGTCAAACACGAGGCTTTTTATGAGGATGATTATTATTCCTATTATGATTATCATTATCACTCCTATTATTAATGTTGCAAGAAAAGCATTGGTAAGCGCGACGTGACGTTGCTGGAATTTGCACGCGCGTCTCTGAGATCCTGCTTGGTTCCCGCGCTGCGCTGCGGGCAGACTACCCCCAATTAAGGAGCGATCTGTGAAACCGTTGGTCTTCCAGGGCTGCTTCTTGCTGAAGTGGGTTGGAAAATGATATCAGATTAGGAGAAAAAAATTGGCCGGTCTAAGCCGAGGTTGGCTCCCGGCCAAGAATCTACATAATCATCTGATTCCAGTTCGCCCTGAACTCACTCACAGACCAGTTCGATGCTGTGATGGGGGGTTTGGGTGGGGGGGGGGGGGGGGGGGGGTCGAGAGGTGGAGCGATCGGGCGGAAGTTCTTATCGATAATATTGATAATAATAACCCTCGCATTCGATACAGCGCCTCGTCCATCCCGCCGGCGCGACGCCTCGAAGCGCTCCGCGGGACACGCCGTAAAGTGCGCAAAGCGTAGTGACTGTGCGGGCGAAATGCGGCAGAGGTTGATTGAGCGGCCAATTTTATTTGGGGGGATCGTTGGCCAGGAACATCGCTGACCACGCGACACCCCCCCCCCCCACCCACCCACCACGGCTGCACTGGACTTAAGACTGATTCCAAGTTCCCCGTGGTGGGGTGGGGTGGGGTGGGGTGGGGTGGAGATTGAACCCACAACCTTCTGACTCAGAGATGAGAGAGAGAGAGAGAGAGTCCTACCACCGACTGAGCCGGGCTGAGAGCCATCCATGCGCTCGATATAGAGCTGCCGCGCTTCGCCCGCAAAGTACGCAGTCACTCCACTTTGCAGGGTGTTCTGCGAAGCGTTTTGAGACGTACCAGACGCGAGGATTATTATAATTAATTAGTTAATTCATTGATTGCGAGCCCCAGCCTGGAGACGGGAGAAGGCCGGCCCTCGCACCGTGCGGACTGATTGCTCATTTACCAAACAGTTTCTCAGCTGTAAAAGCGGGGAAGGGGACAATAAACAAAGCCGTGACATTCCTATCCAGTGAATCAATTCTCAGGGCAAAGTGCAAGGTTTAACCACAGAGCTCGAGGAGGCAAGTGGAATTGGCTGCCACGTTTCGCCCACAAAACACACAGTCACTCCACCTCACAGTCGACTCCGCGAAGCACTGCGAGACTCCCAACGCAACGAATATTATCCGTCGTTATTATGAAAGCAAGTTCTTTTTCTTACTGCGAGTCGAGGTAGAGCTTCGCGCAGGTCACGCCATCGGCCGGGGGTTGGAAACCACGGGCTCGACGATCGCAAGGGGGGGTGCGGGGGGGGTGTTTGCGTGGCAGGAAGCCTCACACTGCTCGAGGCCCTGGCACGGAGCGTTGTCAGGAAGCTTAACCTTTCTAAGCTGCGTGTGTGTGGTTCTGCCCACCTGCCTGGAGCTCAGCTCAGTGCGTGGGGGGGGGGGGGGAGTCAGCGTGCGCAGAGAGCCACATGGCAACTCACATGGACCTGCAGCGTTCCCCCCCCCCCACCCTCTCCCCCGATCCGGCTTTGAGCCAGACCCCCGGCTTGGGCAGTTTCCCGTTCCAACGATTCTCCGCCGCCTCCGATGGGGAGGGAAGGTGGGGGGTGAGGGGGGGTGGGGAAGGCGAGGCGGAGGGTTTTGGGGGAAGAGTGTTCCAGAGTTTCGGGGCGTAGGGGCTGAAGGTGCGGCGTAGGGCGCGAGGGATGAACTGGCTGTGAAGATTGAGGCTCTACAGCAGAAAGGGAGATTCTCAGTCTTGTCGCTGTGCGCTGAGGGAGGGGCGAGGATGGGTGGGTGGGGGGGAGCTGTGGGGGGGTGGGTGGGGGGGTTCGAGCCCGTGGGGTTTGGCGTGTCGGCTTAACCTGAATGAGTCACCGGCCGAGGATGGAAACGCTCAAACGTCTCAAATGTAACAGCCCTCGCGGTTTACATCTGGGGCTCCCTCTGGCTCAGGAAGTGCTGTGGCCACAAGCGACAAGAGCGAGCTGCTGCTCGAGCCATCGCACGAGCGCCTGCAAAGGCTTCAGGCTTCACCCCCGGCTCAGTCGGTAGCTCTCCCGCCCTCTGAGTCATTAGTTTGTGGGTTCAAGCCCCCCCCCCCACCCCCACTCGCTCCATCCCTCCGCAAAACGCGTCTGAGCTCACAGTCTAGGCTGACCCTCCAGTGCAGCGCTGGGGGTGCGGGTGGAGGCAGGAGTTGGGGGAAACGAGTGGTTACGTTGTATTGGTGGAGGCGTCGTCCTTCGGCTGAGACGTTTAACCTCACCCCCCCCCCCCCCCCCCCCCCCCCCCCACCACCGTCTGTGCCCTGTTCAGGTGGACGTTAAAGGGCTGTTGGAAAAGAGACGGTAGTTTCTCTCCCTCTCTCTCTCTCTCTCTCTCCTGGGACAGCAATTCCCCCCCACTCCCCCCCCCCCCAAAAATAAAACGGGTTGTTCACTTCATGGCAGTTTGTGTGGGACGGGTCGTTGCTGTGCGCAAATCGGCCGGCCCGTTTCGCCCTGCAAAACACACAGTCACTACACTTTACACTGAGGTCCACAAAGTGACTTGAGGCATCTCGACCACGTGATTAAGACCCTACATCGACAACAACAACAACAACAACAACCCTCGCACTTGGCATAGCGCCTTATCGCGTGGTCGAGACGTCTCTCACAGGATGCGCTGCAAAGTGCAGTGACCGCGTGTTTCGTCGGCGAAACCGCCCGGCGCGAGGATTGCCATTTATCGTTTAACGACCCTTCAGCCCGAGCGAAGTCCCGCCCGACATTTGCTCGGCGAGTCAATCCGGGAAAAGTGGATTAAAAAGAGAAGAGGAAATAATCCGGGTTTGATTTGCCGGACGGGAGGAGAAGCTGATTGAGCGCAGGGATCAGGCAGCGACCGCGAGAGGTATAGCGGCAGCGATACCACATCATAATAATCCTTCCTCTCCGTTTACTTAGGGCCTCAAACGCCGACTCCAACGACACGTCACTCAAAATTCCTGTAAAGTCCTGCCAAATGCTAATTTGTTCACAGTAATACCCGACAAGCAGCTATTAAGTGAATGACTATACTTTTTCCCCCGGGAGGGGGTGGGGGATTGCTGCTGTTACTATTATTATTATGATTATTAT